AAAGGCGTCCTTTCTTGAGCGTTTTAGCCCAGCTCGTGGAGCGATCGCAAAACATAAAACTCTGCAGCAAGGTGCTTGGTATGGTTGAGACCTGGATCTTCCATTCCAATGAATCATGGCCTACTTTGAAGGAAAAGACTGCGGTTTTGCACAAGATGCTACTTTTCGAATCGCGACAAGACCAGACCATGCTCAAGAAATTCCTTGACCTTGTCATCAGGATCTACGAGGATTCTAAGATCACGCGGACTGAATTAACGGTTCGCTTGGAGCATGCATTCCTGATTGGTACTAGAGCACAAGATGTTGAAATGCGCAATCGGTTCATGACCATCTTCGATCGAAGTTTGACTCGTTTGGCTAGTTCTCGACTCAGCTATGTGCTGACATGCCAGAACTGGGATACCCTCGCAGACTCATTCTGGCTTGCACAGGCATCGCATCTGGTCCTGGGCTGTGTGGATATGAATGCACCCGCTAAACTGCATTCTGATGACTATACTGTCTACCCTCTATCGTTCCTATTTGGAAACGCAGACAAGGATTCGAGGAAAGCCGATGTCATGGTCGATATTCATTTAGAGGCGTTTGTCTCTGATCGGAAGCGATTCGTGGCAGATATCGGTGACGTTAGAGCCCGGGATTTGATGGAACCACTCTGCCAGTTGCAACACACTGATTCAAATGTTGCCTACACTCTTTGGACTAATCTCTTCACCATCTTCTGGTCTACATTGTCCAGAGAGGATCGCATTGATTTGGAGAAGGGTATGATTACTCTTATCACGCGCGAGTACCACCAGAGACAGTTGGATAAGAGACCAAACGTTGTTCAAGCACTGCTAGAGGGCGCGGTTCGGGCTAAGCCACGGTTCAAGATTCCCCCACATGTGATGAAGTACCTTAGCCGGACCTACGATGCTTGGTACACGGCTGCTGGGTACTTGGAAGAAACGGCCATCAACCCCATAATTGACACACCGACTGTCCGTGAGAGCAACTTGGATGCCCTTGTTGAAGTCTATGCAGGCCTGCAGGAAGATGATTTCTTTTATGGTACCTGGCGACGTCGTTGTAAGTTTGTCGAGACCAACGCTGCTCTTTCCTACGAACAGCAAGGAATGTGGGATAAGGCCCAGCAGTTGTATGAGAATGCCCAGATCAAGGCTCGCTCTGGGGCAATGCCGTTCTCGCAAGGTGAATACTACCTCTGGGAGGATCATTGGTTGATTTGCGCGCAAAAGCTGCAGCAATGGGAGATTCTCAGCGACTTTGCCAAACATGAAAATTTGAACGATCTTCTACTTGAAGCTGCCTGGCGCAATATTGAGAATTGGCAGAGCGAAGGCAATAGAGAGCAACTCGAATCCCTCATCAAATCCGTGTCTGATGCACCAACGCCGAGGCGTACCTTTTTCCAGGCATTCATGGCACTCCTTCAATATCACATCAAGAAAGAGAACATTCAGGAGTTCAACGGCGTTTGTGACGAGTCCATTCAGCTGTCTATCCGCAAGTGGCTTCAGTTGCCGAAGAGGATTACAAATGCTCACATCCCCATTCTGCAGCACTTCCAGCTCTTAGTCGAGCTCCATGATGCAAGCCATATCTGTTCCAGTCTCTCGCAAACCAATGAGCGGAACCTGGACACGAAATCAGCCGAGCTGAAACTGTTGCTAGGAACTTGGCGTGACCGCCTTCCTAACCTCTGGGATGATATCAACGCGTGGCAAGATTTAGTTACGTGGCGTCAGCATATCTTCCAATTGATCAATGCCACGTATCTCAGCTTGCTGCCACCACAGACCAACAATGTGGCCAGCAATTCCTATGCCTACCGTGGATACCATGAGACCGCATGGATCATTAACCGCTTCGCCCATGTTGCACGTAAACATCAAATGCCTGAGGTGTGTATCAATCAACTTAGCCGTATCTATACGCTTCCGAACATCGAGATCCAAGAAGCTTTCTTGAAACTGCGTGAACAAGCCAAATGTCACTACCAAAACCCCAAGGAGCTGAACAGCGGACTGGATGTGATCAACAATACGAATCTCAATTACTTCGGTGCACAGCAGAAGGCAGAGTTCTATACCTTGAAGGGCATGTTCCTGGCTAAATTGAGCCATGTCAGTGAAGCAAACGATGCATTTGGTGTTGCCCTCTATTACGACTTGAGGCTTGCAAAGGCTTGGTCCGAGTGGGGACAATACAGTGACCAGCGATTCAAGAAATCCGATCCTTCGGATTATGAGTTAGCCAGCAATGCTGTAAGCTGCTACCTTGAGGCTGCAGGGCTTTATAAGAACTCTAAAGCTAGGAAGTTGCTCAGTCGTATCCTTTGGCTTCTTAGCTTAGACAACGAAGAAGGTCGTGTCGCGGCTGCCTTTGAAAATTTCAAGGGAGACACCCCTGTCTGGTATTGGATCACCTTCATACCACAGCTTCTTACCAGTCTCTCACATCGAGAAGCACGCCTTTGCAAAGCCCTTCTGGTGAAAATCGCAAAACTGTACCCGCAGGCTCTCTTCTTCTTACTTCGTACGAATAGGGAAGATATGCTCAATATCAAGAAGCAGCATGACCAGAAGCAAGAGAAGCTGAATCGTGCCAGACAGCAGCAGGCTCAAGCCCAGGCCCAGGCCCAAGCTTCACCACAGCCCAAGCCTTCTCCATCGGCTTTGGGTGGCTCACCTGCGCAGAATGCTCAACCTCCGAATGCCAATACATCCACTCCCGTGCAAGGCCAAGCTAATCTGCCTAACCAACAGCAAGCCCAGAACCAGGTTCAGCAGGGAATGGTTCAGGGCCAGAGCCCTCAAGTCAACGGCCAAGCTCAGCAGTCTCCTGCTCAGGGCCAGAACCAGGGGCAAGGCCAAACTCAAAACCAAGCTCAAGGTGGTCAACAGCAGAATCTCCAGGTACCTGGCCAAAATGGGGCATCACAGCAAAACCAGAACGCTGGTACCGAGCCTGAGAAGGAGCCTCTCAAAAAGCCTTGGGAATACTCTGATGAGATCATGTCCGGGCTCAAGACAGCTTTCCCATTGCTTGCGCTGTCTATGGAGACTATGGTCGACCAAATTCACAAGAACTTCAAATGTCCACCCGATGAAGATGCTTATCGTCTCATTGTCGCACTTTTGAACGATGGACTGGCGTATGTTGGTCGCATGCCTGGCTCGTATGCTCAGGACTTCAAGCTTCCTGCTCCTACGGAAGCAAACATCACGCGTTTCGCCGAGACCATTCTCCCAGCCCATATTCGCAAATCTTTCGAGGCCGACTTCGTTGTCAAGAAGCCTACGATGTATGAGTATATTCAGAAGTTGCGGCGTTGGCGTGACAAGTTCGAAGAGAAGCTTGATCGCCGACCTCAGTCCCAGTTCCTCGAGAGTTACTCTCCACATCTCAGCGAGTTCCGATTCCTTAAATTCGATGAGGTTGAGGTGCCTGGCCAATATTTGCTGCATAAAGACAAGAACCAGGACTTCGTTCGCATTGATCGATTTTTGCCTGATATTGATCTAGTCCGCGGTATTGGTGTTTGTCACAGACGCTTGAAGATCCGTGGCCATGATGGTAGTATACATCCTTTCGCCGTCCAACATCCAGCAGCTCGGCACTGTAGACGCGAGGAGCGCATTCTGCAGTTGTTCCGTATTTTCAATGGCCTCTTAGGCAAACGCAAGGAAAGCAGACGGCGCAATCTTTATTTCCATCTTCCCCTTATGGTTCCTTTGGCACCTCATATTCGTTTGGTTCGTGATGATTCCTCGTACATTTCCATGCAGGGCATCTATGAAGACTACTGCCGACGGGTTGGCATAAACAAGGACGATCCTGTTCTATTCACGATGGAAAAGATGAGGTCATTAGCGGAGACGAAACAGAGTGTAAGTGAAATTACCGCACCGACGTACTTGAGCAAGACTAATTTTCCTCAGCGGACACCTGATCAACAGCAAGTACTTCGAACTGAGATCCTCACTGCGATTCAGGAGAAGTGGGTTCCCAGCAATATTGTGCTGGACTACTTCCAGAAGACATACCCCAACTTCTCTGACTTCTGGCTCTTCCGTCGTCAATTTGCGTACCAATATGCGGCCGTCGCCTTCATGACCTACGTGATGCATATGGGTAACCGGTATCCCAACAAGATCATGATTTCTAGGACGACGGGTGACATTTGGAGCTCCGAGTTGATCCCAGCCATCAACCCTACCAAGGCCTTCTTCTACAACCCGGAGCAGGTGCCTTTCCGTTTGACTCCCAATATTCAGACGTTGATGGGACCCATCGCCACCGAAGGTCTATTTGCTTGCGCACTGATGGCAATTGCCCGATGCCTTACGGAGCCCCGTCATGAGCTGGAGCAGCAACTAAGCATCTTCGTCCGAGACGAAATGATGTTCTGGGCTACAGCACAGCATCGGGGCGTTCTACCAGTCCCGCAGCTCCGTGATTTGGTATATAACAACAGCGATGTCATCGTCAACCGGGCCGTCAGCCTTGCCAGCCTCCGGAGGGCAACCTGCCAGCCAACCAAACTACTATCGACCTGATCTCCAAGGCCGTCAACCCTCAGCATCTAGCAACCTGCGATGCTTTGTGGATGCCGTACCTCTAGCCACGGGGCTTTGTGTTTTGTGCTTATTTGGTGTATTATTTTCATATGCTTGGCGTTTTTATTTGCTCAGCGGATTGTGGAGGATTGCCTACGGTTCTGATGAACGAGTTCCGTTTTACTGTGGTACTACTTTACTGTTTCAGCGTGGCGCTCTGGGAAACATCTTTGATGGATATGCTTATGACCTGTCTCTTAATCGCTATATTCTTGATTGCCGTTTTGATATGTAGTATTTATAAGAATCGAAATAATTCAGCAGTCAGTTCATAACCTTAGTCGTAATGCTCGTAAGCAACTGTACCCCATGCAATCCCAATCAAACGCCAAGCCTATAGAATAACATTGTAAAATTTCGCGAGCACATGTTTTACACCAGCGATGGCTTTGCCTTCTTCTTAATGCCCAAACTATTCGGCAATGGCTTCTTCGCCTTCTTCACTCGTGTGAATGAAGGTGGCGCCTCGCTTGGCTTGGGGTCTGGCGTAACTCCATTTGAAGAATCTTCCTCAACAAGCCTCTTCACCTTCTCACCAGTTTCCGTAGTGAATGCCCTCCGCGCAGCTTCCTCGATCTCTTTCTCAACCTTCAACTTCTCCTCGTCGACTTCCTCCCGCACATGCGCAATCGCTGTCTCATCTCCTAGCGCCTCATTCCTCTCTATCCTAGCATTCCTCGTCCGAATCTCATCTAGCGCATCCGCAATCGCCATCTCCCTCTTCGAATCCAACATCTTCTCCTCCAGCTCAGCCATCTTATCCCTCTCCGCGCGCTCATGCTCGTCATTCTCCTCCTTCTCTAACCGATCCAGCAACTGCTCCTCCGTCTCGTTATACGTTTCGTTCTTCGGATCCCGCCACGCTCAAAATTCCGTTTCGCGCCCTTCTCCGCCGTGTAATCCATGTTCTTCGGGTCCGTCTTGAACGTAATTTCGCCACTGCATCTCGTGCATCGAATATAGAAGCGATAAATCGGGATAGAGAAGTATTTCTCTTCTGTCGTCTCTTTGCGCGCGTTGAATTTTCTACCCTTATAAATGAATTCTCCACATTGTGTGCATTTCATCTATGAACATGAGCTGGCTGTCAATAGGTGATCAAAGCGAAAAGGGGCATGTAGAAACATACCGAAAACGGGGCCATAAGTCGAACGGTAATCACCTTGGGCCCTGTTTGTTTGTTTTTTGTGCGGGTGATTGCGCTTGGATCAAAGTCTGGCGGATAGTACTATAAACATGTTAGCTATATCATAAGATTCGTAGGGGTGTGTGTTTGATTATATTATGGAGGAGGTTCTGGAGTGTTGGTGAGCTCACCTTCGAAAGGACCTTTCTTTCAGACATATTGGCGGTGTTTTATTATAGTTTTTGGGCCTGCGGGTGCTGTGTTGGAGGCTCAATTGGATTTTGATCGCTAGAGGAAAGTTGGTAGCGTCGTTGTTGTTGGGAGGGAACAATATCTTAGATGATGGTGATGAACGACGATAGCTTGATATTTGTCACGTGGGAGGCACTAGTTGAACATGCTTTGGTTCGACTATTCCTGTTTTGATAATGAGTTTCGCCTGCATTATCTCTTACCGCCTACTTAATCGAACGTGTTAACTATAATAGGAAGGCGGTCACTAAAATGTCCCTGTGGACCCCCGACCGAGCAAAAGGAGATTCTTTCCTTACATATTGCGAGGTCGATATCTGAATTAAAAAGACCCAATTCAAAATAGGCAGGGTCTAGTATAACACCCATTCAGTAACTCTATAGCTACAAATTTTTTAACGAGAAAACAATCGCTTTTGCTAAAACACTAAGCTTAGATACTCCTTTTGCTAAAAGATACATTTTTCAATCTGTCAATTGACGGAGTGATCAAATTATTCTGCCAGGCAATACTTTTTCCCTTCACAGGCATGAGCGTTATGTATCTATGAGTCTGGGTTTGCTTTGTATGGCTTTACTCAATATTGGTTTTCTCCCTTTGATCTCCTGTTATACATCTGTCTATGTCTAGATTTCTCCTTTCTTGTCTACTGATAAATCTAAACCAGCTGGCACATGGCTATAGGTAGACCTTCTAGAAATATAAAATTGTAATCTTAACCCTAGCTATCAACAAATGTTGGAGTGTGCTTTCGTGAACACTACACTGCAGTGTATACAAAGCCCAACCATTTGTTTACTAACTCTTCTAATATGCGGAACATTCCACCCCCGGTTGTTCCTCCTTTTACGTCAATCTCTTCGATAATACCACTACTACACTCAGGTTTCATAGTAACCTCCGGGTCATTTGAACAGAACTAAAAGTCGGGAGTTGGGAACACTGAGCTCAAATGATATACTTCGCTTGAGAGATAGATACATGTCTGATGATTGTACCTTGTAGTTCCATTCATTTGGTGTGAACTCTCTATTGATGGTGTATGGAACTATGGGGTGGTAACCCAAATTGAAGCACAAGTACATTGACAGCCCTAACATGGTTTCAGTTAGATAGGTGAGCTTGAGGTATATGCGTGTAGTCCGCTATATTTAGTGTAATTGCTTTCCCCGGAGCCCTTGCACATATGCTTCTATGGGTCTACAGGGTTGCGATCTATCAACTTTTATAGGCATGGTTCCCTCGCTCGTGACTGTAAGATAAAGTGGGAAGACAGATTAGGATGGCTATCTGCTAGTGAACCACCCTTGAGCGGATAACCAATTCAAATTATCGCCACATGTACGAGTCAATTGTCTTAATTCATTGTATGCAAGAAAGAAGAGGTTGATATCTTCTTACCCGATAAGGTAAGCGCACAGACCCAGTGACGCGCCATTTTGGGAAGCATAAAACAAGCAAACAAAACAGTCAAACATGCAATTCCGCGGATCGCATCCATAGATTCCAATCTGGATTCTCTCCCTCTCTCCTTTGTTGGACGTACACTGGGCCAGTTGTTTCTCTGGAGAAGCTATCATCGTCGCTTTGTTGGGCACTTGTCTCCGAGAACTTTTCTGGAAAAGTTTGGCGGTTGTACCTGGAACCAGGAACCAACGAATGTGCCTATCCTTTATCGCCCCTCCAGACCCCATGCCTCACTGCCACAACTCCGATCTTTCCTGAATCCTTCTCGCCCTTACTCGAAAGCGCATAACAACTGGTGTCATGGAGAAATTTCTTCGCTCCTGGCGGCAAGATGCGTTGAACCGTGGCCAGCATGATGCGGCAGTCTACATCGGTGATAAAGTGCTTGCGTTAACTAGTCGGTCGATCCTTTGCCCTCGCGCCGCAATTATTCAAGACTAACGCATATTACTTGATCAGATAGCGACTCAGATGCCTTCTGGTTGGCTCAAGTACATTTCTCGAATAACAACTTCACCCGAGCTTTGGCTCTCCTATCACGGAAGGATTTGATTTCCAGAAGTACCGCCTGTCGCTACCTGGCCGCGCATTGTTATATAAAGCAAAACCAGTTTGAGCAGGCTCTATCAATACTCGGCGACCACAACCCGACTCACCTGATTCGCAGCAGCAACAACAGTAACAGTCGTCGCAAGCTGCAGCATCTAAACAGCCAAAGCCATGTCACTTTACGCAACGGGAAAACCACAGCTTCGCGGATCGATCGCGGCGAAGAGCGAGAGCGGGAGGATGCAAGTAACATTCGCTTTGAGGCCGCAATGTGCTATCTGAGGGGGCTTTGCTTCGCCAAGCAGAATGCATTTGACCGCGCCCGTGATTGCTACAAGGATGCTGTGCGCATTGATGTCCAGTGCTTCGAGGCGTTCGATCAATTGATGAAGAACTCGCTAATGTCACCTGCGGAGGAGCTCGAATTTCTGGAATCACTTGACTTTGACTCTATCTCCAGTCCGGACCCATCCGTGTCTCAGGAAGCCGCTCATTTTACGAAGATGCTCTATACCACCCGATTATCCAAATACTCGTCCCCTGCAATTCTTTCCGACGCAACCGAAACCCTGTCCACGCACTACAACCTCTCACAAAATCCGGATATACTGCTTTCACGCGCCGAGGCCCTGTATACTCAATGCCGCTTCGCAGAGGCGCTAGAGCTGACTTCGTCTATTTTGTCGACCTCCCAGTCATCTACGGCGCTAACAGCAACGACTGCCCCCATTTCAGCCCAGAACCATCTGGGCCATGCGCCTGCCGTGTACCCCTTACATCTGGCATGCTTATATGAAACTGGTGCCACCAATGCGCTATTCCTTCTCTCTCACACGCTGGCGGATCATGCTCCAGAAGAGTCTTATACCTACTTAGCCATTGGCGTCTACTACCTCTCTGTTTCTAAAGTAGCGGAAGCCCGACGATTCTTCTCGAAAGCATCTTTGCTAGACCCCCATTCGGCGCCAGCATGGATTGGGTTTGCTCACACCTTCGCTGCTGAAGGAGAGCATGATCAAGCTATTGCGGCTTATAGTACGGCGGCCCGACTCTTCCAGGGAAGTCATTTGCCGCAACTGTTCCTCGGCATGCAGCATTTAGCCTTGAATAACATGTCGCTCGCCCATGAATACTTGTCTGCGGCCTATGCAATGTCGACCGGCGCAACGTCTGGCTCGGTTCCCGCACTCCCTCCCACCCCATCCACTGGAGCGTCCTCCCTGGGCGGCGATCCATTGGTACTCAATGAGTTGGGAGTCGTACTCTACCATCAAAATCATCTTGAACCTGCGGTAAAATTATTTCGCCAAGCTCTCGGCCTTGCCACCTCTCTCAATTGCGAGCCAGGAGCATGGGTGGCCACACGAGCGAACCTGGGCCACGCTCTGCGTCGTATTGGACGTTTTACAGAGGCACTAGTTGAATTTGATGAGTGTCTTCGTATCGGTGCTGCGGGTGCTAGCTTCGGGTATACCCCATTTTTAGGAGGAAGTGGAGGCAATGCTTCTGGCGCGGCGTCGTCCGGTGTTGGAGGCTACGAGGACCGCGGCTTGATTGGCTCACTCCACACAGCTCGCGGCCTTATTCTACTCGAACTCAGCCGGACAGTGGAGGCTGTCACCGCTCTCCACGAGGCCGTTCGTGTCTTGGGGGCTAGTGGGGGTGGTGACGCTGCTGCTGGTGCCGGTGTTGCGGGAACACTACTCTCTCGAGCCTTGGAGATCTGGGCGCTGGAGGGTAACGAGGCTGACGCGACGCTGTCCGAAGAGGTCTCACGGGCAGGAAGCGGCAGCCGAAGTTCCAACCGGTCGTCGCGTGACAAAGGGAAGGGCAAAGTTTCCAGGCGACGCGCTATCCCTGAAGAGCAGTATTCAGAGGAATGGACGGACGAAGTTGCCCAGGTCGATTCTCACAATTTGAGGGGCGGCTCTGAGACACTGGAGGATAAGGTGGAGATGGAATTGGACGATGAGGCAGATGGACTTCTGCGCCAAGCGATGAGCCACGTCCGAGGCGGCCGAAGCAGACGACGACCTATGTTAAGTCCCGAGGTGGAGGCCAGCGATACACCTGAGCCTTCTGCGGGTCGTCGCCGAGGGTCGAGGGCGTTGAGAACTAACGCTAGACAATGATTGTAGCTTGATGTTTAGACGGCTGGTTTTGGGTGCATTGCAGTTGGGCGTTTGGATGAATTATACCCGGTTTTGTTCACTGATCCTGCGATCTATGGAGGGTTCCATTGCATTCGTGGCGTATATGATGATGCTTTTGTCTCGTTCATGTCGACAGAATTGTGATGTTGGAGAGAGTTGCATAAGGTACTTCTGTTCCCAAGACTGAGTAGACAAATGGAATTATTCTTTCCAGTGGATTGAGATCTCACTTATCCTACCGGATTCCCCTCATCTTTCTTATTGGTTTGAATGGGCAAATAATTTAAGTAGCGATGGCGCAATCGCCGACAGCGGGGAGACGTCTTACGTACCCTCGATCAATATATGTCGGAGGGCTTCGGTCCTATGATAAATATATAACCGGGCGACCTGATGCACGATGCGAGTATTTGTCCTTCGTACTAATTGCTATCTTTAGTAGTCACACCAATTCTGCCCACCCCTTGTGCATCAATTATAAATACAATATGGGCTCAACTCGCCGTCCGAACTTCCTCATCATTGTCGCCGATGATCTCGGATACAGTGACACCAAGCCATTTGGATCGGAAATCGAAACTCCCGCACTTGATTTTCTGGCACGTACAGGAACATGCCTGACCAATTTCCACACCGCGTCAGCCTGTTCACCGACTCGCTCTATGCTGTTCTCCGGCACCGACAATCACATTGCCGGGCTGGGCCAGATGGCCGAACACATGAGAAATGCCAAACAATACCAAGCAAGCCAGGGTATGAGGGATACCTCAATTGGAGAGTAGCCGCCTTGTCTGAAGTGCTGCAGGACGCTGGCTATTTCACCGCCATGTCAGGCAAATGGTACGTATATTCCAGTCCATGCGCCAAGGGTTTATAGCAAGCTAATCAGTTGGGAAGGCATTTGGGACTGAAGAAAGAGATCGCTCCCTGTTCTCGCGGGTTTGAGAAGAACTTCTCGTACCTTGCTGGATGCGGAAACCACTTCAACTACGAGCCTCAGCTGGAACATGCTGGAGATGGCTTCCTGGCCCCATTGAAATCGTCCGCCTTCTGGATGGAAGGCGACAGATTCCTGGACCGAACCACCGACATCCCCTCGGACTTCTACTCGACTACAACCTTCACAGATCAATTACTCCAATACTTGACTTCCAGGGAAGACGACGACGACCGACCTTTCTTCGCCTACCTCCCTTCACAGCACCCCACTGGCCCCTCCAGGCTCCGCGCGAGCTAATCAACAAATACAAAGACCTCTACAACGAAGGCCCCGAAGTCCTCCGCCAAAAGCGCCTAGAACGGCTCATCCAACTAGGTCGCGTGCCCAAAGACGTCAAGGCGGCGCCCATAACCCTCGAAAGCGACGACTGGGCCTGGAATAAACTGAGCGACGAGGAACGCGCCGACTCAGCCCGCAAAATGGAAGTCTTCGCCGCAATGGTCGATCTCATCGACCAGAACATCCAAAGAGTCATCGACCACCTCCAATCAACCGACGAACTAGACAACACTTTCATCCTGTTCATGTCCGACAACGGCGCCGAGGGTGCAATGCTTGAAGCCCTGCCCGTCATGGGCCCCTCAGGCAACGTCAAGGCCATCATCGATAAGTACTACGATAACTCGCTGGAGAATATAGGCAACCCAGACTCGTTTGTCTGGTACGGTCCGGCGTGGGCCAGCGCGGCTATGGCTCCTTCACGCGGATTCAAGACCTGGATCACGGAGGGTGGCATCCGGTGTCCGTGTGTGGTGCGGTTTCCGCCGCTGGGAGTTAGTAACGGGCAGACTGACTCGTTTGCAACGGTCATGGATATTTTCCCGACGATTCTGGATCTAGCGGGCGTGCCTCTTCCCGGAGAACAGTTTAGAGGGAGGGAGGTTGTTCCTGTGCGAGGTTCGTCGTGGGTGCCGCATCTTGCGGGCCGGACGGCAGAATTTCATGAGGATCAGGGAGGTTATATTACGGGATGGGAGTTGTTTGGGAGACGGGCTATTCGGCAGGGTCCGTGGAAGGCGCTCTATATGACTGCGCCGAGGGGGAAGGATCGGTGGGAGTTGTATCATCTGGAGGAGGATCCTGGGGAGGTGGATGATCGGGCGGACTCGGAGCCGGAGATTTTGCAGAGGTTGATTGAACATTGGGAGGTGTACTATGCTGAGACGGGGATGATTGATCCAGCGCAGGAGTTTCCGTATACGAAGATTTGATGTGCCGATCCTTGGTGGTGAGGTTTCACGGGAGCTTGTGATATAGGGCTGGTCTAGCTTATAGTATGAGTGTCTAGATCTCCCCAACGGTATTAACATATTAAATGAATAAATACTCCTATTGTACAAAACCAATACACGCAGAGAGTAGACAGTAGGTAATCACCTCAAAAATTAGAACGAACCCTCGCCTACAACACAACAACAAATACGCCTTCCATACCAAAGAACAAAAAAAACCATCACCATCACCAGAAGCCCTGAAATCACACCAACAACCAAAGTTCCGACAGATCGACAACGGTCTACCAAGGTACGGCTAGTAACTAACAACTCCCAACCCTGAAACCGTATCCGATCCAAAGCTAGTTAAATACCACCCAAATGCCAAAAAATATGAAAAATAAACTTTCCCCAAACATCAGAAACCCCACTGTTTGCCGATCCCGTCGCAGAAGGACATCCCGAATCCCGATTCGGGTCTAAGTGCCTGTTGGTAGGGCAAGCGTGAAACCATGGGGTCTTGGCTGTCTTCGGGGACTTTTTTTTTTTTTTTTCTGTGCAAAACGGGCGAAATGCTTGAGCCTTCGGGGGGTTTTCTTGGCCTTGTTCTAGGCGATCGGGGGCTTGGTTTCAGGGCTATCTATATATGGAATAGGGGTGGTTCCTGGGTGGAGTTTGGGGTTGCGGGTTCAACTGTAGGGGTTTCTGAGTTTGGGGAAGGGTTTATTCTCCTCTTATTTGGTTATCAATTATTATCATTTCTGGGGCTTTGCAGTATGTTGTTTTCCGATGGGGGTTTCGGTTGATTTTGTAGGGCTGTGATTGTTATTCTGCTTTTGTTGCATATCTGCTCATGTGACCAGATACCATTCGAGAAGCAATGCGGGTTATAACGTGAGCAGACACTATTGTGAATAAGACCCCTGAGCACATTGTAAATGCCGTGCTATCCGAGTGCAGTTTCAAGTTTGACTTTTGACATTCTCTGTCTGATGCTTTGAAAAGGTTACATCCTCTTAGTCATAACGCCCACCGTGATGGTCTGAAGAAGTGCTTAGGGCAGTTAGAGAGTGCTGCTAATTATAGTAAACAGCATTTATGGACCTTATTGTGACGGTTCACCAGGGCCAAATGATCTACCCCCCGGGTTAGACTCACTCGGGGGGAAGAACCACCGCCTGGTCTGGGCTCTCGAGTCAGGAACTAGGAAGGCCAAGAGTTTCGGAAGCTCGAGTTTACCACTGAGCACGGCACTATAGGGATCCACTTGGACGGCGATTTTCGCCTACAGGATAGGATGGTTCGCCTGCGTTTGTGTGGTTCTATACGGGATTGTATACAGAAATGCGAATGTCTGTTGTAAGAACCATGAGGACAAGGGAGACGATGTTTCCTCATCCTTGATGGCACAGCAGTTCAGCCCAGCTGTCGAAGATGCACTGGCACAGACATGTGCTTCTGGAAGAAGCACATAGCTTAGCTCCGTGTCGCCACTGGCCAATTGAGTTTTACTAAAGGTTTGAGGCTAAAGAGGTTGTCTCGGCTTGAAACTTGGATCTACACCTTAACCATCACGTTTATCCCGAATAGAGCTGTTGCAATGCAACCTTGCCGACCAAATGCCATTGCCAAAGTCAGCTGAATGCTGGAAATGGGCGGGATCAAACGTATATAAAGCCTCACATACCTCCAGCAGCAATTCCTCATCCAACCCAGCTTCGACAGCATCTCTCTCTTCTTTTCATTCGCTTTCTATTCACAAAAACTATTTTACGATCTTTATTATCTTTCCTTTTTTGTTTTCAACATGCGTTTCGTTTATTCTACTGTTGCCTTGACGGCAACAGCTCTCGCAGTCCCGGTGACTGTTCCTTCTACCTATCACCGTACTTCGACGGTCCCTGGGAAGGTTCTTGAGGCTTCCAACCCGGCTGGAGATGGTCAGTTGACGGCTCGGACTTTCGGCCCATTGATCAACTGGATCGGACAGCTTAAGGGAGGAAGCTCCTCCTGTGAGGAATGTGCAGCTGGCGAAAGAACCGGCTCCGACATGAGTGTCAGCATTGACAGCAGTTCCGAGGATTGTGATGACGAGTCCTCCAGCAACGGGAACTCGAACAGCAACTCGAACAGCAACTCGAACAGCAACTCGAACAGCAACTCGAATTCCAACAGCAACTCGAACTCGAACAGCAACTCGAATTCCAACAGCAACTCGAACTCGAACAGCAACTCGAATTCGAACTCGAACAGCAACACCTCTGGCAGCAGCACTGACAGCGGTAGTATGCCCCCTGGTGGTATGCCCCCCTCTGGCGGCACTCCTCCTTCTGGCGGTATGCCTCCCTCTGGCGGTACTCCTCCCTCTGGTGGCACTCCTCCTTCCAGCGGCACCCCTCCCTCTGGCAGTACTCCTCCTTCTAGTGGTACTCCTCCCTCGGGAAGCACCCCCCTACTGGTGGCACTCCTCCCAGCGGCGGTGATATGGATTGCGAGGAAGGTGACAGTTCCTGCACTCCCAGCGGCGATGATACAGAGTGCGAGGAAGGCGACAGTTCTTGCACCCCTCCCAGCGGCGGTGATGCAGATTGCGAGGAAGGCGACAGCTCCTGCACGCCCCCTACCAGCGGCACTCCTCCCACTGGTAGCACTCCTCCTTCCAGCGGCACCCCTCCATCTGGCAGCACCCCTACTAGCGGCACTCCCCCTACCGGTGATGTCCCAACTGGCAGCGGTACTCCCTCCCAGCTCTGGCACTGAAACTGGCAAAGAGACCGGCGAAGAGACTGGTGGCTCCCCTCCCACTAGCGGCACTCCCCCAACTGGCAGCACTCCTCCTTCCAGCGGTACTCCTCCATCTGGCAGCACTCCCCCTACTAGCGGCACTCCCCCTACCGGTGATGTCCCAACTGGCAGCGGTACTCCCCCCAGCTCTGGCACTGACACTGGCATCACCACTGGCGAAGAGACTGGCACTTCTACTGGCGGCTCCCCTCCCACTGGCGGTAAGCCTCCTTCCGGCAGCGGTACTCCTCCCAGCTCCGACACCGAGCCCTGTGAAGTCTGCGAGAAGGGCAACAACTCTGGCAACAACTCCGGCAACAACTCCGGCAGCTCCTCTGGCAGCTCGTCCTCTTCCTCTTCCTCGTCGTCCAGCAGCAGCTCCAGCTCCAGCTCCAGCTCCAGCAGCTCCTCCAGCAGTTCATCCAGCAGCTCCTCGAGCAGCTCCAGCTCCGGCTCGTCCAGCGGCAACCACGCCTCAGCCAACGCTTCTGGCCCCAACGACTGCGCCGAGTGCGAAGTCTCCGTATCTGTCTCTCCTGAGGACTGCGAGGACTTCGAGTAAAGGCGCACCGAAGATGACAAAATGCCGGTCACTTAGTCGGCCCATCTAGCCATGGAGAGTACTCGGGTACTTTTCTATCTGTTTTAATAACGTCTGCCCATGCTGGTCTCAACCGGCCCTAGCGCTCGTCTGCTTGCTTTTCCTTTTCCTTATTTCACTACTGATTTGTCTGTCGCTACCGCTTTTGTGAGATAGTTGATCCGCTCCTTAGGGTAATAGAATTAAATCACGTTAATGTGTGTTCGAGTTTCGAAGTTGAATATCTTGGTCTTCTTTACTACTATACTATATGTACGAGTGAGTAATCAACGGTTTACTAACGTAGTCGGTAAGCGTTCCGCTCACGCAAGGATCCCACCTAACTGGGGAGGGCGCTTCTTCTAGTGTTCAACATCTCGACAGTTGAAGCGCGTCTACCGTGTCTGGCACGTCCCTAGCAGTCAAAGTATAGACGTTCTTGGCACCGTTGTGTAATCATTGATGTTTGGAGAAACAATTAAATTAATATTCATATTAAGCCACCATATATATATTATAGAAAGTAAATCATTAAAGTACTTCAACTCCAAGCCAAATGAGCCTCGCAAAGGGGGCACCGTCACGTTTATGTCACGGCGACGATGTTATTATCGATGAAACGATCTGCCTCTCTCTTCAGCATCAAGATACAACTCGCCACAAAGAAAGCCTCTACGCCGTCCGTGTCGGCATGCTTCTCATTCTCCCACATGCGCAGGTCCATCACCAAGCGACCACCATTCCCTCCGGAGTACCTAGCCGAGCCGCGGGTGCGGAATTGGTCGTTTCGAATAAGCTGAGCGACTCTGGCGCCGCTCTTAGTCGTGGTACCGTCCCCTAATACGACGCGATCCATGCGCTCCAGAATCAGCAGCGAATCTGCGTTACAGGCTTTTCTTTCTTCCCGACTGCCGTAGCGCCACTCGTATTTGCCCAGTGACGTGTCGAAAACCTGCGCACGGCTAACCATCGACCGGCTTTGGACGTCGACCAATTCTCCACACACCTTATCGTCGTCGATGGCCTGCTCAACCGAAACACTGGAATCGCGGGGTAGAATGCGCATCCTGGGGTGTCTTCCAGGGCCCCAACGATAGATGGTTGAAATGAGAGCATTCTGACGTGGGTCGGATGGGCGCACCAACGCGCACGAGTTGGAACTGCTCTTTAGGCGGATAGAGGTGTATTTTTCCTGTGTGGGTGCTCCAAATTCCACGCTGTAGACGGAAATATTCTCCAGAAATTTGCCGCTGAGTGCCTGGTTGGTGTCGTATCCCATGGCTTCTACCTGAAACTCGCTTGTGGCGAGAAAGCCGTCCGCGGAGGAGGATTGGTTGCTAGCGTCATCGGATGCAACGACCTCATTGTAGTCGGGGGGAGACTGGGACTTCCAGTCACCCATTGGCTTGGAAGGGTTCGCCCTTGACTTTCGCGAACATGTAAATATACCCATTTGCGCTTGGTTCTTGAAGTTTGGGATTTGGTTGTTTTTGAGGATTCAGGTGTCGCGGAATAAAAGCTTGGTAAGATAGCAAGTATGATGTTTGATGAAGTGCCAATTCAATTTGCGGATTTCCCTTCACTGATATATATCCACAGATATATGCTGACGCTCAAGATAAGATGATGGGAATGTTCCGTGTTGCATTGATCGATCTGCTGCGCCTCGTGGTGATACTGGTTCCGGTGATCAATGATAAGGCTGACAGTGACGCCATAAAGGGCAAGGCGACCCACTCACACCTTGCATGCGCCACTTCAGTTAAGTTGGCTTAGGGTCCTCTGGTGCTCTGGGCTGCCAGGGCTTAAGGTTGTCTGAAAGGCACCCGTGACCTCAACTGCTACTGCAAACCTTTCCTAAACAGGAATCATCTGGCGCTCAATGGATCTGCGGCTGGGAGGCAGTGCTGTGCCAGCATCCGCCCCACAGAAGATCAACACGAACATTGTTCGGGGAACAATGAAAGAGTGTAGGGGGACGACACCGATTTCCGAAAATACTGTACTCATGAGTCGCAGTGGATGCGACTTTGACATCTACCGGAGCGGATTTGCTGCAGCTTAATTCAATGGTTTTGGAGTGAGAAATATGTTCTGCCTCTGAGATTCGGCGGCACTGACTTACTGATCAAGGTAGGACACCGATGCGAAGGCGATAGAAACTACCTTCATGGCAGGTTCCTTAATATTTTGGCTGGATCTTACTTCAATCCGAAGGCAGACCTCAATCCTAAATCGGTTGGGTCGTCTTCTCTTTACGCGGACTATGTTTCTTTAATTGTTAAAGTGACATGGAGGGCACAGTACGATCTATTTAGCCACCCATCAGCTTAGTAACTGGTGCAAGTGTGCAAGCCACTGGGGGAGAGAGATCAGAAGCGAAATTGTGAGATTAAAAAGACTAATATTAGAAGTGTAAGTTAAAATGCCAGCATATCTTGGAAAGCCACTCTAATCTTTCAGGCTGACCTTGTGTTGAAGTATATTGAGTGAATCGAAAAGCTAACACTCGGTAGTTTAGAATATACGAGTCACAGTCCATCCCACAGAGACACCTTTGGCCAGGATCAGGAACAGCGTCGAGCAAGCATATGACAGACCGGAAAAGACAATCAGCCCCCAATACACTGTCTCCTGATGCGTTGACGGATTCTGCGCCTTGAGAATCTCTCCCGCGACGGGAATAGCCACCAAGAGACAGAGAGCCATGATTGTATTCATCGTCCCATATCGTTTGCCATAGTCCTCTGTCTTAGAGATCTGGGCCACGCACACTGGCGACAGACTAATAGCCGGACCGGCCCAGAAGCCGAAAAAGGCAGCGAAGCTTATAATCGCTGCTTTGCTTTCGTTGGCCGTAAGCCATAGGGCAAGGATTAATATCGTACAAACGGACCCAGTGGCGATCATAACGTTGAACCGGCCCCAGCGATCAGCTAGCAGGCCTGGGATAACTCGGCCGGGAATCGATGTAGCGCTGAAGATAGACATCAGCTCGTACGATAGGGAACCGGTTATCTCATGTGACGAGGCATACGAAGGCAGGTACGTGATGACAACCATCAGGCCGACTTCTGCGGCGGTCACGGCGAGGGAAGTCATTGTGAATGCCGGTTCTCGCAGGGAGTGAAGGTCAATCGTGCAGCTCTTGGAGTTATTTGAAGGCAGTCTCGTCCTGGTCAAAAACAAGCTAATGAAAAAGCAACCCAGAAACAAGAAACCCAGCACTCTAACCGCCCAAGGAAATCCAATTCGATCTCGGAGTGTTCCGAAGATATATGTCAATATGATGCCCCCGATCCCACCGCAGGTAGAGGAGACTCCTGTAGCCAGGCCCCGACGCTTGTAAAACCAGTGATTTATGGTGCCGAACGCTGGTGGTAAGATGGCCGATGCGGAAAGACCGCCAAGGACACTGAACCCGAGGATGAACTGGTAGTATGCTTCACACCGTCAATAGGACGGCAGTGGGAACCGGAGCTGGTCCACATTACCTTGTGCGACACTGAGTATCATTATCGATGCTGTGAAACCGACACATCCCGGAAGCAGAGTGTACTTAACACCGTGTGAGTCGAAGACGGGCCCTGTCGCGCACCAGTTAGTACCATTTATGTGTAGAGCGCTAGCGTCACGGTACTATACCGGTTTGGATGCCACCGAGGTAAAAGAGAAAGAGCCATAAACTAAAGATCCAGGAGATTGATGCCTTAGAATAGTTCTGCAGCTGGTGGTCTGCCAGCCACTCTTCTAAAATCCCCGTGATATTCATAAGACCGAAGCTTGGAAGCAACGCACACCATGATCCCAAGACCACTGACCAAGCTCGCCACCCGCCATCAGGGAACTCTGAGGAATCTTCTTCCGTGTACTCGATAGACGTGTGATTATCTTCCGAGATATTGCTACTGCTGCTTGCGGCATCGCCCGTGGCAGTAGGTACCTTCTGAGAGTCGCTGCTTGTGTGCATGGTCCCAGAGATCTTGAAACTACTATACAGTAGTCAGACTGCTTTATGGGCAAGATGAAAGAAAAACCAGACGACAGTATTGAACATGAAGCTCATAAGAGCGGCCGGAATGAGACATGTAATTCCATTTTTTTTGTCGATCATTGAATTATTTTTCTTTCTATTCCAAGGTCGATATACACCCCTTGCATCCGATGGACCCGAAGTACGTATCTGGATCTGAGAAACATAAATGCAGCACTGGAATTTCGCCTTCGAATCACCAATGTGTGGTTCGTTGCGATAAAGACTTTGGTAGCTGCCAATAGTTTGCGGGTAAGAACCCACCCAGCATTATATCTGTCTTCCTCGCATTGGATCATATCGGTTGTTTATTGTGAACGCTCGGGTAAGACATGCTGAAGCCAACGATGGAATCTCCGAAATCGACCGGGTGACTTGAGAAGGTTCCCAACATCGTCGAAACATGAAACGCTTTCTAGACGTAACCTTATCTGAAGGTAAAAGGCGCCACCGGGAAGTGCGGCCATACAGAGCTCGGGAGGCGTAAATAAGCATCGAGTCCCTTGAGGTGGTTCATTTCACCCGCTGTAAGGAGCCCTTCCAAGTCACATGTTTTGTCACGCTCAATGGGGATGAAACCAAACCAAAACAAACAAGAAGGCAGGATCCCTGTCATTCTGGCGTGTTGCGAGAGTTAGCAATTTCGTGACTACTGAACTCTGGACTGTATTTAGTCTGCAGGTCTTCGAAACAGTAATTTACGGTACTTTGGACTGTACAACTAAATATTCACAATTTTAAGGTCCTAAAAGAATACATCGTCCAAGTGAGACCGTCGGCGAGCTCCGGAGATACCTCGGCCAATTCATCCTTTTCTTGACTGCTAGATAGTAATACTATTGTCCAGCGCAAGTTTGAGCCGATCATGGCCGAAATGAAGTTCTTCTCCTTGGGGCGAGAATGAAAGAAAAACCCCGGCAACCTCGTTGAACACAGCCCACGTTAGGGAGGTCTTGGCGGGTGGGGATACCCTTATTTAGCGGCCAAGGGCCAATCACAATGGGGCGAAAAAACAGGGTCACGGTGGGGGGCCTTTTTACGTCACGGGCGGCTCTTCATCGCCATGACCTCTTTTAGGGATGCTCTCTTCAGCGCTCGGCGATTTAGTATCGTCCGATGATTCTATTTCAGTCGTGTCATACTCCAGTCATGTACTCTGTATGCTGCAAGATGAGATATACAACATGTTGTGTACGTAGTCTATGAAGTACCCCTGGAGTCGTCACCTGCGCCACATTGACGCCCGTCATACATGTCACAGCCAGGGACGAGAGCCCTGATGGCGCCTGTCTCGTTGTCTTACTGGCTGCCAGCTGGCGCTCCCGTAGGAGTTCGCAGGGGTGCTGCCGTACTTGAACCGTTGTAGCTTAGTGCCAGGGGCCCCCTAACAAGGCTGAGTCCTAGCCTCAGGCTTCTTTTGCTCGCGTTTCATACCGGGAAATCTGGTCTGGGGGCAATTTTTGGTTGGATTTCCCCGCCAGCATGACATGCCAAACTCAGTAATGAATGCGACCAGTCCCAGAGAATACTGTTAGTCAGTTCAGGGACGATGATGTTCAAAAAGCTACGATCCAATGGTCGGACGAGGGGGTGCTCCATAAAGCTTGTCCATCATTGACCGAAACGGAAAGATTGACCGTCTCCGCCATGGAAGTTTCAGAGCATCGCCGCGTCATTGCCTTTCGCACCGTCAATCTAGGCCCCTGATCCTTTGGCTTCATTCGTTTATCCTTCCCGCTTCCCCCTTGGCTCCATTTTGTTTTCCCTCTTTCTCTCTTCCTTTTCCTTCCTTCTTTCTTTATCTTACAATGCTCTCGACCTATTCACGCGTCATTCCGTCTTCGCCGACGCGATGACCCTACCCAGTTGTTCGAGATGGCGCCTGCGATTAGGTAGCTTCCTCTACCTGTTCTACTTCGTGGGATTCATGAGCTTCGCCTGTATCGTCGCCATCTGGTATGGCGTCAATTCCGACCGAGACTATATTCACCCGCTGTTGACCCAACTCATCCCCGCCGGGCACTGTGCGTGCCAAACGTCGACGACCTTCCAGTGCTCGACCTGCCTGTCCTGCTCCGAGCATAGTCTGGTCCCGCAACTGACCTCCGCCCCGAAATGGGAATTCAACTCGGATCGCGATGCAAACAATGAGGGCCTGACAACACCTCAGTGCAAGGCCGCATTCCCAGGACTCTACGAGGATGTCTTCCGCGCCGAGAGCTTTTGGCGGTCCCAAGGCGCTCTTGCGACCGAGGACCTGGATCGCATTCCCTTAGGATTTGGGATGGCTCGAGCATTCATTTCTCGCGGCGAGCTGTATGTGGTTGCGGCGCGGGCCAAGCAAGAGGATCATCGACGAAAGATTGTGGCGGCATTAAGCTCCATCCATCGCGCGCTGGTCGCGGATTTCGACCGAGCTGCTCGCCGCGACATCGAGTTTGTTTTCTCGGTGGAGGATAAGGTCGAAGATGTCACGAGCTCCGACAATCCAGTCTGGGTTCTTGCACGGTCTGCCTCTGAGCAAGGCGTCTGGCTGATGCCCGACTTCGGGTTCTGGGCGTGGGATAACCCGCTGAATTCGATTGGACCCTTTGACCAGGTCGTCGAACGTGTCAAGAGAGCCGATATTCCATGGTCGGAGAAAACCCCGCAGTTGGTTTGGCGCGGCAAACCTAGTTTTGCCCCCAAGCTGCGCCGCGCGTTGATGGATGCCGCTCGGGATAAGCCGTGGGGCGACGTCAAGCAAGTGGATTGGTTTGAGCGGACGAACATTATGTCGATGGAAGACCACTGCCGGTATATGTTTATCGCGCACGTCGAAGGTGAGCCTTTTTTTTTTTTTTTCCACTGGTTGTGGTTACCAGAGTGCTAATCGGATCGACCGCTTAGGCCGATCATACTCCGCTTCACTGAAGTACCGTCAGGCCTGCAACTCAGTAATCGTGGCACATAAACTGCAGTATATCCAACACCATCACTATCTCCTCGTACCGGACGGCCCGAATCAAAACTACATCGAGGTTGAGCGAGACTTCAGCGATCTTGCGAACAAGATTGAACCCCTCCTCGACGATCCGAGTACGGCACAGCGGATCGCCAACAATAGCGTGCGCACCTTCCGGGAGCGCTATTTGACGAAGGCCGCCGAAGCATGCTACTGGCGTCAGCTTTTCGAGGGATACCGACACGTCTGGAACAGCAGTGTCCCAGTGTGGTCGGACACGTATCAGCGGGAACGGGGTCTCCGATACGAGTCGTTCGTCTTGATGGATAGTCAAATGATGTTTGATTTTCGCGCGACGGGCGACATGCCATAATGATTTTGCAAGCGATATTCGAGCGATCTACGCATTCACGGAGTTTGGAGTCTGGGATATGGTCAACTTCTGCGGCTCTTCAGCCTTTGAGATACCAATCAAGCGTGGTTTTGTGATTCACAATGCTTTATAGACTAGTACGGTTTATACCGTCTGCCATTATATACTCTCAATAATAACAGATATATAACCTCCGAGTACCGCCAGTACCAGAGATGTCATGCACAGATGTTCCCAAGTACAGTAAACACTGCTATAAGCAACCCCGATGTAGGGAATCTACGCGTGATATATACATGATAACCCCTAGGATTATATACATTCCTACAATCCAATTTTACTATTAGAGTACCGTTCATCACAGAGAAAATTAATTAATATATACTCTAAATTATACAGAGCCTTCTAAATTCTAGTTATAACTAGTCTATATAGAAAATTCACTATAAGCAATCCCCCGATACAAGCCCTTTCAACGTTGAATTGCTTGCTAAAACAATTGCTCATAACAGCGGTTTACTGTCATGTCTATGACTCTCCAAACCCAAAACAGTATCAATCTAATACTGCTGCACACTTTTTCTGTGGAAAAATTTGCGACTTCCTTGGAATAGAGCCAGATTAATGCCGCTTTTTACTCAGTAATTGATCCTGGAGTATAGCATAAGGCAGAACTTAGAAGTTAATATATCGAGCGCTCCATAAATATTCCGTAAATATACTGGAGTAATCCGGAAGTAACCTGTGATTATAGATTAATTATAGAGAATATACTGTCAGCTGAATACCCAGATGACAGTATATTCTCTATAATAGAAGCCTCCGAAAACCAGGTACTATATATTACTTATTACCATACTTCTCTCTGGAGGTACAGTAGAAGAGTTATTAGCTGCGAGAAAGAAGTCGCATTGTAGGAGTGACCTGGCTGCATGTATGGATGACACGAAGGATCGTAGCAGTGATAACTTATAAGATGGGAACATAGGACTAACATAGGACTACAAGATATATAAGGACACTCATTCATGGCCTTAGTTTAGCTCTTTGTCATCAATTATTATATGTTACTTGACAGCCACATGCAAGATTTGTTGCCAGCTCAACTGGTTCGCACTATCCAATAATTGAGTATCCATACTGATCAACTAGTGGTTTCTAGTCATTGAGGAAATTACCGTATCTACTCCAACATTCATGTCAAATGTGATACTTGAATAATATTGAATCATGAACAAATACAAGATCATTTCGTAGTATTTTATCCAATAAGGAGGGCAAAGCGCTGGGATTGCCATAGTTCATAACCAAATATGAACAAGCAGGGATTTGCCAGCTTCATAACTGTCACCGGACGGTCTGGAACCAGATCAGATCAATTAGCGAATTTTATGCTAGCGCGGATTGAACCCTTATTTGTTGGATATCCGCAGTTGGACTTAGATGTGTGTGTCGTACAATATGTCGCAGCCTGCACACACTGCAACACTCACCGCAACAATGGATATATCCTTTTGCCCAAGAGGAAAATACCTGTCAGATGTGATTTACTAGGAAGTAATGCCCGACTCTCTGCAAGTTGCACATGTGATATGTCAAAGTAGGAAGCGTGTAGCTGATGTAATACTACCTAGGTACGTACCTTCATGCAGTCAAGGATAACCGTGACACGGCTGACCAGCTTCCTGAAGGCGGCCACATCACACAGATAGAGCTGTGATGTACCGCTTTATCGCTGCCACTTCTGTATATGGAATGCATCACGGCTTAACCCAGAAAACGTGCGGCAATCACCCCACTAGCCACCTCGCCGCTGAAGTGAAAGTGTTTATAAACCTCATTCAATATGGCAGTGGTGTAACTTATCAACTGCATTTTTCTCATCCTCCTCAATACACAAGATGGCAACGCTATCTCTCCATGACAAGGCAGCCATTGTCACCGGTGGCTCTAGTAATATTGGAGCCGCCATCTTCAATTGAACTAGCGAAACGTGGTACCATATATCCTGATCACATACAACACGGCATACGAGAAAGCCGAAGAGACGACCGAAGAGATCCAAAAGCTGGGCAGACAGGCCGTCATGATCCGCGGCCCCTAGTCCAAGCCGCCGTCAAGGCATTCGGCAAAATCGACATTATTGTCAACAATGCGGGACTGGCCGACGATATGCCGCTGGAGCATCTCACCAACGAGTTCTGGGACAGAATGTTCGATACCAATGTGCGCCTGCCGGCATTTTTGGTTCAAGCGTCCTTGCCACATCTCGGCCTTGCCCCGCGCATTGTCAATATCTCCAGCATTGCTGCTCGCGCTGGATATGACGCGACTTCGGTATACTCAGGGTCCAAGGTGGCGCTCGAGGGCCTCACACGGGCGTGGGCAACAGAGCTAGGGCAGAGGTACAACGCGACAGTGAATTGCGTTAACCCGGGGTTGGTGGGGCCAGTTGCAATGGATGTATTGGCAAAAGGGGACCCACAAGTCATGGAACATTGGATGGCCAAGTCCAAGGAGACACCAGCAGCGCCAAGAATGGGCATGCCTGATGATATTGCTCAGATTGTTGCCTTTCTTTGCGAAGAGGGCAGCCGGTGGTGTACCGGAAGTGTTGTCAATGCGAATGGTGGCATGGTTCCTGTTTGACATCATTGTGTTTCTTTATGATGTGGTTTGTGGGTTCACGGATGTACAAGACCAATCGCTTCCATAGCGACACACAAAGAGTCAAGCCACACAGGCTCGTTGCACTTTGATTAATACCTCTACCTATAGGGACTCTGTAAAAGGGTTCAGAAAGCTTCGATACATCGACTGCATGGGTATCTCACAGATTGTCTAGCACATGTAATACTGCGACAGGTCAGAACCAAAGCCTTGGTGTTGAGGACGCCCTTAGTCTCGGCATTCAAGCAGATGCCACCTGTGGCCTTACAATGCACTGCCGTATGCCTCTTTTCTACTCCCCGTGCATATGAAATGTAGATCTATCTGGTGAATCCTGCCACTGTTACGCCCTGCCCCATCTCCTGCTCTTCAACAATCAGCGGCATGATATCTTCCGTGAACTTCGTAAAATACGGCTGAGAGATGTGCTTCTCGAAGGCCGCTTGATCTTGGTATCTGTCCGGATAGTTTAGACCTTGGCACTTGATATCAATTCCAAAGCTCAAGAAGGCATTACCTTTCCACAGCCACAAATTCATTCTTTCCGTCAACCTTGTAGATGAAATAGAGCAACGTGCCCGGTTCATTCTCTTGGACTTTGGCGCAAATATCATGGGTCAAAGCCGTGACCTGAGGTCCGTGAGAAAAAGAAAAGGACCCTTGGCTGGCTACTCACCTCTTCGACCTTCGTTGCGTCAACCGTGAACTTGAAAACTAGATTGAAGGGTGCCATAGTGGATGGGAAATGGGCTAAAAACTGCTAATGGCTTAGAGGTTAGCCATCCCTCGGTAGCTATTTATATAAATCACACTCCCATTTTCCAGCAGCATCCAAGCGGGTATCGACAGGTACTCAACTCATCTGTCAGACCGACATTATCGTGCTCTTTTGGTTTTCCCTCACCGACAAATCGATCCATGCAAGGTTGCGGGCTGACGACGTGGTGGGAGCAGTCACATGCGTGGACAACCTCGTATTGGATTTGCGGTAAGGGAAGCTTCTTCATATATCAATATATCAGAAGTTCGATTTTACCCTCCCCCCCGCCGTCTTTCATGATCATTTTCATTTTGTCTCCGCAAGTTCTCTCCGATCTCATCCAATGGCACCAGCTGTGAAGCAAATCACTATTTTTGGCGCCACGGGGCTTCAGGGCAGCTCGGTGGTGCATTCTTTGCTGAGGGACCAAACGTCCAATTTTAAGGTTCGGGCCATTACCCGAGATCCTCTCTCTGACAAAAGTCAGGTCTTGCAGAGCTTGGGGGTGGAGGTCGTCAGGGCCGATGGCTGGAGGGCCCATGAGATCCAGGAAGCCTGTTCAGGCTCCTGGGCGGCATTTGTGAATACCAACTCGGATGATCCGGTAGGCCGCCTTCTCCGGTCCTTTTCAAGTTGCGTCAAGGACTCATCGAGAGAATACGCCAGATCTTTCAAAACCCGGACGGACCTACTGAATTCGACTTGGGCAAATCCATTGTCGATGGTATCGTAGCAGCCAACGTAAGGATCCTGGTTCTCAGCTCGATGAGACCCGCAGCGGAAGCCACAGGAGGGAAGATGCATATTAAGACCATGGACAGTATGTAAACGGGAAGATGTCAATGGGCAATGGACTCGGAAAGCTGACTGGTTGGGTTGGAAAATGCAGTGAAGGCTCGCATCGAAGAGTATGCCAGAGGAACGGGTTGTTTTGATGCGGTCTGTTCCATCCACGCCGGATGGTACTATGAGCTTTTTCTTTCCGACATTATGGCCCAGGTACACCAGGGGTTTCCATACTACCCTGATGCCGAGGGCTTCTTGAGTCTGCATCTTCCCCGGTGGGGAGACAATGACGCGGCTCCATTTATCGCCATTGCGGATGACTTTGGTGACCTGGTGCACGGAATCCTGCTCGATCCCCACAAATGGAAGGACCAGAACATTCAAGCTGTCAGTGAGGCTCGATCGTTGGAAGAATTCGTGGCCATCTTCTCCAAAGGTAGGCTCAGCGCTTTTCTTGTGTTTGTGTCTGTAGATTGAGATACCATGGCTAACCCCGGGCCCTGCTGTAGCAACTGGGAAGAAAGCACGATACGTGCCTTTGCCCTCATGGAAGTCATTGGGGGAGGGAGTTGCGGAGATGGAGGACGCTCGGTTACTGTTTGCCTATGGAGAGCTTACTGGGGGTCGTTATTTCGGAGTGGAACCTTCGTCCACCGCTACAGCACGGAAACTGAAGAAACTAGCAGCGACTGCCCAGGGGAAAGACGGAGCCAGCGCGGAACTAACTTCATTGGCCTCATTCTTTGCCGCGAATTTTGGCCCGAGCTCGAAATAAGGGCGTTCTGGATATTATCTACAGTACACATCATATCAATCTAGTCCAATTTATGTATTTGCTAGACCAAGGAGATGGACGTATCCTAAGCCATCGAACGTTGCATATGACTTTCTATATTGTGGTAGACATGTTGGAAAGTCTCCGAAACCAACGGGGCTTGGCTAGTGAGTCCCCTGGAGAGTGGGCGTTGGATTCCGCAGAGAACCTGGCTATGTTGGATTTCAAAGCTATGAACTAAGGGGTCCCAATGACGCGTGTGGCTCTTCCAGGCTCACAAGCACTAGTAGATAAATAGGGCCAGGTCCCTCACCTCTGTCTCTGTCTGTCCAACCATCATACTGATCTTCAAGACGTTCATGATGCACCAATTTCACTTACACTCTGTCGAAGCCCGAACAGCTCCGGTCAGCCAGGTTGTAGACCTGCTCACCGTTAATGGGGGCGTGATAGTACGCAATCTGATCGACCAGGATACACTCGCCCAGGTTTCACGCGATGTCACTCCGCATTTCGACAAGTTCTGGGAAGGGGGTATCTTCACTAGCAAGTCCCGGGTTGTGACCGGGCTTGCAGCCAAGTCCACGGCATTTATCGAACACATCGCGTGTAATCCACTGTTCTTGGAAGTATGTGACCGCCTCCTTGCGTCGACCTACACATGTTGGTATGGCGAGGAGCAAGTGACTTTCACCTCAGCTCCCCAAATCAACGCCGCAATTGCCATTTCCAACAGTCCGGGCAATGAAGCGCAGAAGCTGCATCGTGACGACATGGGTCTCCATCATACTCTCCCGGGGATCAACCCTGAGGCGTATACACCGGGCCGCGATGTCGGGGTTGGACTGTTTGTTGCCGCGACGCGAACCACCAAGGAGAATGGCGCCACTCGCTTTATCCCAGGCTCACACTTGTGGGATACCTCCCACCGCCCCGACGAAGGCTTGACCGTGCCTGTAGAGCTGCAGCCTGGCGACGCGTTCATCATGTTGGCCTCCTGCTTCCACGCAGGCTCGGCCAACGTATCCCAGGAGGATCGCACAATCTATTCGACTTTTCTGACCAAAGGATTTTTGAGACAAGTAAGAGGATTCTATTTACGTTCCTTCGGAGCATCCAATTATATCTTTCCATGGAGGTCTGCTCGCTAACTTTACTTGCTCGTCTGTCTCGACAGGAAGAGAACCAGTACTTGACGGTGAACAAAGAACAGTTGAAGAAATACCCTTCAGCTGTAGCGAAGAGACTTGGATTTACGCCCAGTGATCCCTTTCATGGCTGGGTCGATCTGAAAAGCCCACTGGAGGCATTGGGTTTAGAAGATTCCTCAAAGTGAATGTGTAAATAAGCACTGGTAATGATCAACTCAATTTAGTCCCTATGCAGTGCAATCGAGCCATGTTTTTGCAGATCAACCGAATTGATAAGTAAATAATCTTGCACTAGCTATGTAGGTCTCTCAGAGAGAGGAACAATCGACCACCAATCCAAAAGATAAGAAATGCGTTCAAGATACCGTATTCACTCGAATTGCCCTCCATCTACGCAAAGTTTGTCTTGAACCACTCCTCCATACTCAACAAGTTGACCTCGGCGCCAGACTTTCCTTGCGCTTCTGCCGCCCGCCTCTTGAGTCTTAAGGCGGTTTTGGTCTCTGTGGGCACATCGCCAAAGTAGCGTCCCCCGGTTGCTTGCGTAAAGGCAAACAAGAGCTTATGATCATCCAGTTCAGGGATACCCCTGCCAAAGTCTTCCCAGGAGGGAAGTGGAATATACCTCGACTTTCGACCCGTAGCTGCAATCCTCTCATTAGTAGTACTCAAACCAAACGTGAGCAGGCGTACATACCGTTTTGCAGTGTCTGGGTCAGCTGCTCGAACGTCATCACATCGCTAGCGGCAGGAACCGACTTGCCATCCCACTGCTCAGGTTCAAGCAGGATGCCGTGCACTATATCCCCAAAGTCATGCGTGATGCTCACGAAGGATGGGTGCTCGTCGTCGCCCCAGAGCGGGGCCCGGAAGGTAATATAACCCTCCTCGTCGGGAGTAGTGGGAAAGCCCCCAAACACATCGGCGGTGGCTTTGTCGAGAAACTGCTCATAGTACCAGGCGGCGTATATGCCACAGGTGGTGGCGAAGTGGCCGGTCTCTCGGGCGTACTTGAGTGCTTGGTATTTCACTGGCCATTGTGGTCAGCCGGAACCCCCAGTGAATGTACAAATCAACTCAGAGAGGTACTCACTTTCCATGGGCTTGATGAACAGCTTGCCTTTGGTTTGCTCTACAGACGAGGCGAAGGAGCTATAAACAAGATGCTGCACGTTGGCGGCAACCAGGCTGTCGATGATGTTTTTGCCGAGATCGAACTCCGTGGGCCCATCGCCTTTTTGGAGGAACAGCTAGCAAGAGAACATATGTTGTTAGCTTTTAGTATCTAGGGCTGTTGGGCGGGTGTGGGTTAAAGTGAACCGGGTCATCAGAATTCGTGTTGACGAAAGCCGCCCAAGTGTCCGCGAACGCCCTGGTCAGCTCCTCGAGATTCCATCCATCTGCCTTGACAACTTGCACCCCGAGTGCGGAGAGGGTCTTGCTAGAGGCCGAGTCTGGATGACGACTTATGGCGCGGACTTTGAACTGGCTGGTTTTATCCGCCAGCAGGGCCCGGGCCACGGCGCTGGCTTGGTTGCCAGTGCCAAAGACGGTGACGATCTTCTCAGTTGCAGTCACAGTCATTTTTTCGGAGTGGATGTTGAGGAAAAGATTGCAATGATGGCGAAGATCATGTTAAGTAGACTATGAAAAGTGTGCATGATGTGATCTACTTGCGAATGACACCTCACCTGTTAGCCTCCCACTGCATGGAGAGAGATATCACAGGTCCATGTCGATCACACCGCTCATCTATCCCTTGCCTTGCATTCTTCTTTCAGCTGCGCCATAAATAACGACGTGTCTATGCAATGGAATGGAAATGAAGGGATAACTCTACCGAAACATTGGTCTGGTCATTCATTGGGTGGTACTGAGTCTGCAAGATATGGACTAAGTTTCCGAGAAAAAGGTAATCCTCGTCCCTGGATGCCAGATCTACTATTATATATGTATATCCATTTGCTAGCTTTGGATTGGGTAGGTAAATTACAAGCGAACAGTGTGAATTTGCCAACTCTTCCTCCATGGCAGCCCGGCTACTATCTTCAATATCTTTAACCGATGTCGTCCTGTCACTCTCCAGTGCGGTAAGTAGAGAGCCTTTGCATGATTCATTTTCAAAACGAAAAAAAAGCCACTAACCAAAAGCCAGTGGATTGCCATTCATCTTGTCCTAGTAGCCTACAATGTGTACCTCCACCCGCTACGACGCTACCCCGGCCCCAAACTGGCCGCGGCGTCACAATTGCTCAACGTGTATCATGTCCTGAGGGGAGATAATTGTAAATGGACGGCGGAGCTGCATGAGAAATATGGCACCGTGGTGCGCATTGGCCCCAATGAGTTGTCCTACATCTCCCCCTCGGCCAACCAGACCATTTTTGGGGGGCGGCCCAAGGAGGATAAGGTGTTCGAAAAGAACCCCGTGGCTTATCTGCAGGGAAATGGTGATATCAGCAATATTTTCTTCGCTCGATTTCACGATCATAATCGGCTGCGCAAGCTCATGGCCCCGGCCTTTTCCGAAACGGCGGTGCGGGAGCAAGAGGCCACCATCCAGGGCTATACCGACCAGCTGATCGCTGCCCTGCGCAATCGCTCTGGCCAGGCAGCGTACCCTAATGAGAAGGGCGTGGTCGATATCATTCCCTGGCTGCACTTTATCCTCTTCGATGTTCTGACCCGCCTGTCATTTGGTGCTCCTATCGGCTGTCTCGACCGAGCCGATTATCACCCCTGGGTATCGGTCATCTTCAAGGCCATCATCCATTCGACATATACGCAGGCTGCCCACCGACTGGCTCCCTACGAACGGATCCTCAAACACTTTATCCCCAACGACATGACCGCAAACTACGAGGCTCATTTGGAATTCACCCGCAAACAACTGGACCAGCGGCAGCAGGAAAAGGACGAGCCCGTCGCTCGCGCCGACTTTTCCTCTTTCATGCTCAAGGGCATGAGCCCTGACGAGCTATTCGACAATGTCAATATAGTCATTACTGCTGGAGGAGAAACCACCGCCTCCACCATCTCCTCGGCTCTCTACTACCTCATTCACAATCCTTCTTCCTATGAGCGCTTGACCAAGGAGATCCGGGACAGCTTCTCCGCGGACGGTGAAATCACCCTGGCGGCCGTTGCTGCACTACCGTACCTCAAGGCAGTCATCCAGGAAGCGATGAGAATACACCCCCCTGTGCCAATAGGGTTGTTCCGAGTAGCGCCAGCAGCGGGAGCCTTCATTGACGGCCAATGGGTTCCAGGAAACGTAAGCCAATTCCCTCCCTCTTCCAATCAACTACAGACGAGTCCATCTAATCGATACATGCCTTATAGACCTGGGTTTCCGTGGCCAACCTTGCTGCATCACGGACCCCCATGTACTGGCGCGATCCCGAGCGATTTGCCCCGGAACGCTGGCTAGGCGATGCCAAATACGAGTCGGACGTCCGGGAGGCGTCGGCACCGTTTTCCATTGGAACGCGCAACTGCATTGGACTGAAGTAAGTTCAAATCCGTCTTTCGTTTGGCGACAGATGATGCATTCGGACACCCCATCCACTGACTTACCCTTCTTAGCCTGGCAAATGCCAACATGCGTATCATATTAGCGCGACTCCTGTGGAATTTCGACTTCGAGGCCCAGCCGGACAATATCAACCCGCATGAATTGGATGAATATGGCATCTGGGAAACCAAGCCTCTAAATTTGAAAATAAAGGAGCGTGTACGAGGTACTTGATATTTTGCAATGAGCCACTGTGGGGATAGAGATTTGTGAATTATGGAACAGTGAGATGAGGTAGGTTAGTCGCTGTCAAAAGGCAGCTCGAGGTTAATTTGAAGGCTTGTGAAGTTGCCACCGGAAGTATATTTGTATTCATTTCTTATTTATCGGATTGAGAGAAAGAATCATTGGTGAAGCTAGCTGCTGGGAGAGAGAAGAAGTTCCTGTAAGGTCCTATAACTGCCTGAGGCAGGACGGCTGTCTTAAGAATTTCGGAATCGTCTGTCCTCTCTCAGTCAATAAAACATGCTACCAGTTCTCGCCTAGATGCCCGTAGCTCATATACTCATTCTGGCTTCTGCCCGTACACGATATGTCTAGATAAATGAACAATCAGCCAGCAAGCCCCGGGCCCTCTTTTCGATAGCAGTTGTCTCCGTATAGAAAAGATTTAAAGAAAAGTACTTACAGAGGCATCCAACACTGGCGATCAGGGTTGTCCATATCCGCAGAAGCCGCAGCGAATTCCCTGTCCACGTCTGCCGGGGACATTCCAGAGACGCTGCATAGCACCGCAAGCCCCAGGTTCTTTAGCCCCAGCTTATGAAGAGGGTTGCTTATCTGACCAATTTTCCGGGCAAGGGGATTGCTGGACCATCCGCTGTACGGGACCTGCTTGATGAGCTCCGTGATGTCAGAGAAACCAGCCTCGCGCATCAGCCCAGGGAAGGCTGGTGCTATGACCACTTTGCGCGGGCTGCGGTCGCCCGCCTCGTTTATCAGCTGTTCCCACCTCAGCAGCCCGCAGGTGGGATCCAGCGAGTTGGTTTCGGACTTGGACGAATATCCAAAATCACTGATTTCCATATAGCCTCCGGGGCGCAGCGCTCTGGTTGCTTTCTCAGTATATAGGACGGGGAGAATGAAAATGGGTGAGCCCGAACTTACCTCCAGCATTGTCTGAAAAGGCCTGGCCAATCCATAATGCACGCGGCCAACCCGCGGATGTAGATGTAGTCGAATTCCTCGACATATCCCCAGTCACTCTCGACGTCGATGCTCCTGAAGCGACAATTCGGGGTAAATCTGGCTGATGGTCAGCAGGAAAGCCCTGCAAATATGACACGAGGAAGGGAAAACAGATGCCAGGCTTCTCACTGGGTTTTGTCAGGGACGTCGAGGTCAATGCCTAGGCACTGGTATTGTTAGTGTCTATTCGACTGATACAGATACCGCGCGGCAAGAGCTTACCTGGCTGGTTGGTTGGCTTGCGGCTGGTAACTTTCCTTGAGCTACTAGACATCACTTCCAATCGGGTCGGGCCACAAACCAAAGTCTTTCGTCCAGGTCCCAGTACCACATCCAACGTCGAGAACTGCCCGAGGCTCATGAACCGGAGCCCAATTCAGCTTCCCATCGGCTAACAGCTTGCCCACCCGGTGCCAGCCCTCTGAAGACGGGAGCGTTAACATCGACGCTAGTGGCTCAACTCCGGGAATATGGCTTACCCATTTCTGTCTCATCACTCTGTCACCGTATTGCAATCAGCATAAACAATCACTGTGATGGTTGAGTCCAACGGGATAAGGCGTGAACTCACACTGTATTGGAGAAACTCCACTTCCACGTCATATCATTAGTACGGTATACACTAGATTTCCTGTCCAACTGATGGGGAAGGTAGCTGTGGCTTACAGTCCTCCTGGATGTAATCAGTACTCGTCTCCCTGTAACAAGAGCACGACGGCTTACCTTGGTGAGCGTCATCCTGAGCTCAAACGTGGAAATCAAGCCCGGGGCAGTCGCAGATACACAGATGGGCGAAGCAAGTGGGTAAGAGCCGGCAGTTGATTCTTAGACGTCTTGCCAGAGCTTCCAAAGCCCCACAAAGGAAAAAGAAAGGAAGGAAATAAAAAAAAGCGACTATTTCGTGCTAGATCGGACCACGAAAAAGGGTGTCATTTATTGCATTCCATTTCAGCCACGCCACGGAAATGATGCATATGCAGTGTGATATGTCTATCACTCCCTTTACCGCCACATCGAATGTTCACCGCAACTATTGTCAGATCGACCATGGATTGCATGAGTGACCGGCATTTTGGCGAAAGCAAGGGACAATCTATTGCTGCTATTGGGTGCAGAGGATGATGCGGCTGAAGAGCCAAAGAATGTCCTCTTTGTATGTAGCGAAACTTCGGCAATAGACAGGGAGGATCACGTCTTGCAGATAGTAGTATCAAACATTCTGCTGAGGGTCTGGAAAAGGCAGGGTTACTATCCCACTGCCGCCCTTCATAGTCTCTATATCGTAACCAAGGAATACATACATTCTCGAGAGAAAAACCAGGAGAAATATGTGGCATGCAGTCAAAGTGTCAAAATACGTTTATTAATTCTAATTATCCGAAAACACGGGCTACGGGACTAACAAGCAGATCTCAGATGGGCGATGTACTTCCCCAACAAAGAGGCGTCAAGAGCGGGAAATTTCAGACCTCCTGGATAATTGGCCATCATTCTATCAGTGTTTGTTGTCTGATAGACGGGCATATTAGCATATAACTCCCAACGAGTCATACCGTCATGCACCCTCTCCGCCAGCATAGGCTGCAGCGGCTGCAATGCCACAGGAGGGTTGGCAGCCAGCCGGTCAATCCATTCCATGTAAGGTAAGCCATGGATACGTGAATTTACTGCCTCCCCCAGCAGTTCCATTGTGTCATCCATGTCGATGGACATGTCACGGGCTGGGGGCACGATGTGGTAGGCCCGGCCAACAGCGTGCTCAGACGCAGCTATATGAAGAATGACCGAGTTAACGTAGTCAACCGGAACGAACTCCTTTCGCTGGTTAGGCAACATGGGGTAGCTTTTCATCTGCTCGCATGCTATCATCAAGCGGCTGAAAAAGTCATCAGGGTTACAGACGCCCGTCTGGCTGTGGCCGGTGATAAACCCGGGCCGATAGATAGAGATTGGGAACCCGCGATCCATCAAACGTCGAAGAAGCTGGTCGGCCACCCATTGACTCTGCGCATACCCGTGATCGTATGGGAGAGCCTCCACATGGGGGAGAAGGGAGTCATCCTCACCCACACTTGTTGTGCCAGTGACGAAGCCAGTGGGGCCAAAACAGGAGATACTAGACACGTAGTGAACTGCCTTGTTTCGCCTTGTACAAGCGAACCGCACGACGTTGATCGTTCCCAGTGTATTGGCAGGGCGATGTAGTGAGTATGGCTGCGTATAGTTGACGCGTGCACCAAGGTGAAAGACTACACTAGCCCAGCTCGCCAGCTCGTTGAATCGAGCCTGTCCTAACCCTAGATACTTATCTTCTAGTAACCCCGGGAAAGCAAGAAGCTTATTCGTGAATCTATCCTCCCAAAGATTATATTTTTCGAGGGCAAGACGCAGTCGCTGCATACCAGCAGCGGAATTGGGGGCTCGCACCAGACAGCCAATTTGATGTACCGATGGCATGTTTAATAAGTCTACTAACAAGAACGCCCCAACAAAGCCTGTGGCACCGGTGATAAAAATGCGGCCTTCAATATCACGCTGCCAGTTCACGGGTGTGGTCATCGGAGCGGGCAAATCGTCGGCCAGCTTTGTGTCAGCCAGCCAGAATTCTCTCTCATCACGCACAGTCTTGAGGTGACCGCCCTTGGCGTGATCAATAATACTCGCTAGGGCTCCAACTGTAGAGTTGTCATACAGAGCCAAAAGAGATACTTCACAACGAAATACCTGACGAATTTGGCTAATGAGAAGAGATGCTTGGAGAGAGGTACCTCCAAGCACGAAGAAATCATCGCTCTCCTTATATTCTGGCTTTGGGTTTGCCAGGATAGTGGCCCATAGGCTAGCCAAGGTCGTTTGGGTGTCCTGGCAGAGCGTATTGGGCAATTTCGGCCCTGGTTTGAGCAGCGAGGTCGAACGCTGGCAGAAGAGTTGCTTCAAACCCTTTCGGTCCACCTTGGCATGACTGTTGAGCGGCATCTTCTGAATGAGCTGCAATTGGGGAATCATGTAGTCGGGTAAGGTGTCCTGGAGGATCTCCAAGGCCTTAGAGATCTCAGGGGGATGAGCCGGATCCTTGGGGGTCGCGTAGGCTACCAGCACCGATCCTGCACCCTCTTGCGGCGACTGAATGCCCATCGCTGCCACCTCAGCAAACAAACCAGTCTGGAGTAGACTGGTTTCAACAGCCTCAAGTTCAATTCGGAAGCCTCGAACTTTAATCTGATGGTCCACCCGCCCTACATAGTCGATCTGACCATCGTCACGGCGACGAACAATGTCACCTGTGCGGTAGAATCGAGCTGCCTCGCCGGAAGGCATCACTATCGTGGGGAAACTTTTGGCATTCTTTTCCGGCTGGTTTATATATCCAGGGGACACGCCCGCCCCGCCGATCCAAAGCTCCCCTTCGTTGGCAGCGCGACCTGACTCGTCCGCAATGTATGCGACGGTATGGCCGATGGGTGTGCCAATACTGACAGAGCCCATCTGGATATCCTTGGGTGTAACCCGGTGAGCCAGGCAGAATATGCAGCATTCAGTCGGACCATAAGCGTTAATCAGCATCTCTGGAGGTCCTTTGCGCAGAACTGTTTCGATAGCGCTCACATTAGCTGCCTCGCCTCCAATAAAACAAATACGCAACTTGGAAAATGCAGTTGGCAAAGTTGAAGCAGCGAGATTGAGCAAGGCAGTGGTAGTAGCCATAACTGTGATCCCCAGGCGATCAATATGCTCCGCCAGTACAAGGAGATCTAGCAAAACCATCTTCTTGAGTACAGCAATCCGAGCCCCACGTAATAATGGGACCCAGATATCAAAAAGAGAGACATCGAAACTGCTATTGTTAGCGTGAGCGACCACATCATCTACTGTGACTGGCTCGAATGGGGCATGGAACACCACTTGTAAGATCGATCGAGCGGCTATTTGCACTGCCTTGGGCTCGCTAGTGGTTCCGGAAGTGTGTATCAAATGTGTGCGGTGGGAAAGGTCGGTTGTGACGGGAAAGTTGTTGTCATCGCATATATCCTTGCTGGTCAGAGGCAAATGTTCCTCTAGCACGATCTGCTGGAATTGTAGGTCTCGCCCTCGATTGGACTGGTCAACGAGAATGAACCGCGAGTTGAGTCGTTCTAATCGTTGGCATATCTGCTGGTCCCTCAGGGTTGGATCCATAGGGGCACAGCTACCACCGGCGTAGATCACGGCCATTTGGGCAACCACGTCGGCAACTCCATGTTGGACAACGATTCCTACCGCTTCTTCTCTGACGAAGCCTTCGTGGGATAGCTGTGCAGCCAAAGAAACTGCCCACGCGTGTAGTTGACCATACGTGATAGATGACTCGCCATCTACAACAGCAATGGAAGAGGGGCTTTGCCGGACTTGTCGATAGAAAAGCTGTCCAAGACCCAGATTGCTAGCGACACACAGGCCATATTCATCCGCTCCGGGCGGTTCGGGAGAAGGAGGTGTAGTAGAGAGCGTCATGCCAAAAATAACTTAAGTGTTTTGCAAATCCCTGGAGAGCTGGAGAGAGGTAAGAATATCCCAAGATGGGTACAAATAGCCAGCCGGACCTAGGGTTTTCAGCGGTTCCTTTTAGGTAAACTATATAGCGAAAGCCTGCAACAATGTATCTGTACATCTCATTCTCTTCCCAAAGTCTATTCGATAACGGAATGTTCAAGAATGAATGTCGGTTTACCGAGATCGTCCGTACACTATCCACATTGATCTCAGATTTCTGCAGTGACTGCATACACCGCCACTCAAGGGGTGATATGTAATATATCAGAAACTTAACCTACACCCGGAGTATGGCTGGCGTAGCTGAAAGGCGCCATTTTGGCCGATCCTCTTGTAAAGAATAGATAGATGAGGCTGTAAAATATTCACCGGTCTCCCTTGCAGCCTATGACCATCGAGTTTGTACGCAAGGTGTTGTTTCCACCGCTTTTTCTTTACAATGTCTTCAGGTATGGCTCGGACATGGCCGCTCAATCCCAAATGTCCGCTACCTGCTCTCCGACATCCCTTTCCTTTCTGTGACATTCTTAGGCTTTATGGTTTACGCACACTGCATCTTTCCGTAGAAGAGCAATAAGCGGTGTACATCTAGACAACTTACAGGGACCCTTTATATCCAACGGCAATAGATGAAGGTGACCTTTCCTCTCGTCTTGAGTCTTTTGGTATTGATGTACACTACTGTTTGAACAACTGCGGTCTACCCATGATGTCGAAGCTCTTCACCCCTTTGCAGGTTGGATTCTGCCAACTTGAGCACCGAGTCATCATGGCCCCGCTGACTCGCTTCCGTGCGGACGATGACAATGTCCCTCTTCCGATTGCCAAAGAGTACTATTCTCAGCGCGCCTCCGTTCCCGGAACGTTGATCATTGCCGAAGCCACATACATCTCCCCTGGGGCAGGTGGTTACCCAAATGTGCCCGGGATCTGGTCCGCTGAACAGATAACCCGGTGGAAGGAGATCACCGATGCGGTGCACGCTCAAGGCTCCTACATCTTTCTCCAGCTATGGGCCCTAGGTCGGGTAGGCGATGCAGATGCACTCAAGCAGGATGGGTTCGACCATATCTCTAGCAGTGCTGTACCTGTGGATGCGGGGGAGCCGGTCCCACGAGCTATGACTGAAGAGGAGATTCAGCAGTACATCGCCTTGTATGCCCAGGCGGCACGGAATGCAATCATGGCTGGTTTTGATGGCGTTGAGCTGCACGGAGGGAACGGTTATCTGGTCGACCAATTCACACAAGATACTTGCAACCGCCGGACCGATTCCTGGGGTGGAAGCATCCCGAACCGATCTCGCTTCGCAGTCGAGGTGACCAGGGCCATGGTTCAAGCTGTCGGGAGTGAGCGGGTGGCAGTCAAGCTAACTCCGTGGAATGATCAGCAAGGCATGAAAATGGAAGGTATGGAACAGCAGTTCCTGCACTTGATTACCAACCTGAAGGAGCTAAAGTTGGCCTATCTTCATTTGACCAACCCTCGTGTTTCGGTTGATGAGGATGAGCCCCTGCAGGGCCCCACTGACGGCCATTCGCTTGAGGACAATGCGAGTTTTGTGAAAGCCTGGGGCGAAACCAGCCCGGTGTTTCTGGGTGGAGGCTATACAACCCAATCGGCCAAGCACACATTGGATGTCGACTATCCTTTACACGAGATCGGCGCAGTCTTTGGACGACTATTCATCTCAAATCCTGATCTGCCGCTGCGTTTGAAAGATGGCCTTCCATTTACCCCCTATGACCGAGACACCTTCTATACTCCACTGTCCCCAATCGGATATTCGGATTATCCCTTCAGCGACCAGGCAGTGGAGCTAATCCCCGTTCAAGTTTAATTAAGTTAGTGGTCAACGTGCGGTCGATCTATTATGCTAGTGGTAGTTGGAACTATGTTGAAGTGTGGTGTTCGTTCATGCGCAGTTCAACCGAATATGTTCTTCTTAGTTCTAGACTGCCATATACTGCAAGCCAATGCAATGATTTATAGTGTGATCAGCCTATTTACATAATCTAACCCATATTTCGAGCCCTCCTATGCTAAGGACGAAGGGTTACGACTGAAATCTGGTGATCAAATATACTTTGATCGTAGCCTTCAAACTCTCAGACAAGATCCTCTTGGCTGCCACTGGCGCCAGCAGGCCAACGGAATGCTTACGTTAAAGAAATGGACTTTTGAGTTTGCTTGGTTCTCATCTGTGCCCATGGCCAAGTCTTGCATCATGCCCCGGTATGTAGGCTCTTGGTATGTGGAATTCTGAGCGACGGGTCAAAATTACCCTCCCCTGAAGCCAAAATAGCTCTTGGCGCTCAAGTATTCTGCTTCTGCATGTATGATATTATGAACTGCAAGGGAAATCAAAATGTCTCCCCCTTGCGCCACGGGATTAAAAGTATTGACTGTTTTCACTAGCCGTTGATGAAAGGCGCCGATCATTTGAAAGTGTCCCTTTTGGGAGTGCAAGAGTGATATCCAGCTTACGACCCGGGAAAACAGACTCATCGCACATTCATAGCGAAGTAAGGGTCTTCGGACTTGTCCAAGAATCAAGCTTTCGTTGGCAATCTGTTGATACATTCAGCTACGATCTTTGTAAATGAGCTAGTCTGGAAATAACCACCTCCTTGTATGAAGCTTTGATGCATTTGAGAGACGCCGTCACCCCAAAAAGTCCCGAAGACCCTATCTATTTGTTTATTTATTTTCCTTTTTTTTTTTTTTTTTTTTTTTGAACGCCACAAACCTCCGGGTTGCCATTTCTTGTAAAGGCAGGGCTCATGAAGATGGAATGAAAGCATAACTGGGTATCTTGTCAACGCCTCCACCATTCTACTTCAGTATCAGAGATGGATCCCTGCCACGAGAAATCCGGTTCGACGGCATCCTCGGCGAACGTCAGAAACAGCATCGAGCAACAAAACGAGCCGCGTGAAAATGATGACAATGAGAGACCCGAGGAAAGGGCCCAACAACATCTAACGACATTCAGGCTTGTTGGTGTTATGTCAGGATTAAGCTTTGCTGTCTTCTGTATGGCGTTGGTATGACCATGGAAAACCATCCAAAGGCTTGAGGATCAGGAACCTGTTAACACGGTTGAGTTCTTTTCTTTCAGGACAACACAATCATGGCCACCGCAATTCCGAAGATCACCGATCAATTCCATTCTTCGCAGGACATTGGCTGGTATGGGAGTAGTTATCTCTTGACGAATTCCTGTCTAACCATTTCGTTTGGGAAGCTCTATACCTTGTATCCTGTCAAATGGATCTATCTCGTTGCCCTAGCGCTTTTTGAGATAGGGTCATTGGTTTGCGGCTTCACCCCCAACTCCGTGGGCTTAATCATTGGGCGTGCGATCACCGGTTTGGGGTCCGCGGGATTGTTTTCGGGAGCAATCACTGTAATTTCTCAAAGCATGCCTCTGCAGCGAAGGCTGCTATGTATTTCTCTTATCATGGGCCTTTTTGGCGTTGCTGATGTAGCTGGTCCTCTTATTGGCGGTGTATTCACTGATTATCTCACTTGGAGATGGTGCTTCTATATCAATCTTCCCTTTGGTGGACTGACGGCGTTGGCCATCGTTTTCCTTCTCGAGGCACAACAGCCCGTTAAACAAGCAAGAGGGGTCAAGTGTCTTCTATCGCACCTCGACCTGGTCGGTCTACTCTTCCTTTTTCCAGCTGTTATATGCCTTTTGCTGGTACTGTCGTGGGGGGGTGCAGATTATCCTTGGGGTGACCGGCGCATCATCGGCCTGATTGTGGGATTTGCCGCCTTGATGTCGATATTTATTGTCGTGCAGTGGTGGAGACAGGACAAGGCCACAATACCTCCCCGGTTGATCAAGAAGAGAGATATCTGGGGCACCTGCATATTCAGCTTTTGTATCACTGGTGCAATGATGGCTTTTACCTACCATGTAAGTCACAATGTATCCACTTATTATTCCCTTGGTCATGAAACTTACCCCCGGATTTCCGCAGCTTCCTATATGGTTCCAGAGTGTCAAGGGTGTCTCCGCGACAAAGTCTGGTCTGATGAGTCTCCCTACAATTCTAGGAATGACGATTTGTACTATCCTTTCCGCCGTATTGGTTGGCAAAATTGGGTACTATGCTCCATTTATGTATGCTGCCCCCGTTGTATCTGTAATCGGCGCTGGTCTACTTTCCACCTTGAAAGTTGATAGTGGGCCTGCGCAATGGATTGGCTACCAGGTCCCTTTCGGAATTGGACTGGGTATAGGGTTATCGCAACCCATGGTCGTTGTTCAGACTGTACTCGAGCCAGATGATATCCCCCTTGCCATCGCAATCACCGCCTTTATGGAGTCGCTTGGGGGATCGGTTGCTATTTCAGTGGCACAGAGCGTGTTCCGGAGCCAACTTGTGAAGCATATGGCGCTGGAAGCTCCCCGGATCAACGCACATGAGAATAGTACAACTGGAATGACCACACTTCGGGACACTGTACCGCCGGAAATGCTGAACGGTGTACTGAGAGCCTATAACTCAGCTATTACCCAGGCGTTGTATGTTGGAGTTGCTCTTTCGTCACTAGCAATCGTTGGGGCTTTGTCAATTCGGTGGATTTCAGTGAAGGGGAAGAAGACGGAGGCTTAGCCATAATAGATCTGTGTTTGACCCTGATGAATCAGGCGTCAGGCGCGCCTCGCTTTTGTAACTAATATATCTGGCCAACCCAATAAATAATTTCAGAGTAAGAGCTCTTCTCTGTTCCCTGTTGATCTGTCTTGCTCCATACAATACATACCATCATGTCTTGACCTCCTTAATTATTTGTCCCTTGTGACGAAAGCCCTGAAGCAGAGCTACCCGCCCTTCAGCATATTGTTCTACCTCACCCATACTATATATTTGAAGCTATTCAAGCTCCTATACAACATCGCCTTGAGTATCTATTTGATGATGTAGTTTAGGGCCCTCCTCATCCACCTGGCTAGCCTCTGTACTAGGCAAGTCTCCCGTAGTCTTTCCACCTCCGTACGATCTACAATTCGCCGTTTGCATCATATACAGTCAGTAGCCCATTGTATCGGACGCTCCTACTCCTGGTCCCGATGCATATAGGGGGTCCTACAACGGTCCGGATATCATATACCCTGGAACTTCCTCATTCCTCGGTCTATGACCATGGGCCCGGGATCAGAAATTTTCTCATTTTTCAATGATTCTTCTATATAGATTCCGAACGGCATCAACACGCTCTGTTGGATTAAATATTGACCGATTTATTTTACAAAAGGTCCGGGTTTGTTGGTGTCGACCTAGCCGATCTGAACAAGTAGTCTGTAGTACTCATTGACTGAGACCTCTCTGCTCCTCGGCAAGCAAATAGATCTTTTACGAGCTTCCGTGGCCTTTGTGACCTTGGTTTCTAATGTGCTGGGCATTCTCTCGTTCACATGAAGATGCAGTGGCGAGAGATTTAGCATGTCGTCTTGTAGATAAAAGGGATTGCTTTTCGCTGTAGACTGGTTTCGATATCACTATCCCATGTAGAACCTAGACTTTGGTTCTAGAGTTTTGGCTTTTTCTAAATATAATGATTAAAGGTGTATCTATTATATGAAATTAACTAAGAAGGAGGGATAATCTGATACCAAGGCAGCGACAAAGGGACTCTAATACAAGACTAAAAAACTGGTAAATAGATACAGGAGGGAACCATAAGAGCCCACAGTTATTATTCGACTCCATGGCTGTGTCTTATGTGTATATTCGTTAAAATACCTGCTATAGATAAATTTCGTATGCTAAGTAAGTTTGCTTATCCAATTCAATAGGTTGAAATCTCTCTTCCTTGATCTACCGTATGCTCACTACCACCTTAGAACCACCTCCCACCATAATGCAATCAATGCCCCTCGAGAACAAACCCCTCCAAGCCCCCAGGACTACCTCCTACCAAATCCCTCACCTTCCTCCCCTCCCGGAACACCATAACGTCGGCATCGCCACAATCCCCAGCTTGGCGATCTCCTCGTCCGACAACTTCCGCACGTCCATCCGGTAAAACGCCATGTGCGGTGTTGTATGGGAGATCTGCTCAAAGGCCGAGAACATCGGACGACAGGGACCGGTCCAGCCGGCCGTGAAATCGACGACTGTGGGCGTCGGGGATTGGATTGTTTTCTGGAGGGTTGTGTAGCTGTTGGGCAATCTTTATGTTAGCAAGGCGGATTTTTAGAGTGGGATAACGGCCGGGGAGGACGGACGAGGTGATTTCTTTGACGACCATTTTTCCCTCCCTCTGTTTCTTTCCTTCTTTTTCTTGGTCTTACTATCGGATATGTAGGAGGTGTAATAGTGGTGATAGAGTGGTGGCGGTTGGTGGTTGATTATACACGTTTGTCAAGAGACTGAGAGACCGAGGAATTATTAACAAGCAAATAGAGCCATTACTCCCCCCAAAGTCTTTCCCTCCCAGATATATACATCTTGAAAGTTCCCATGAATCCAAAGCTGACAGTAAGGTAAAAAGAATGTCATGACGTGGTTGAAATGTGAATAGACTTTGTGTGATGCTACAAGGCTGACTTTTAACTTTCGGGCATAATGGCATGATCTGTCGGTCCGCATAGGCTTTTGGTTCCGCTGTGGGGATGATTTTGGGTTTGGGAAAGGTGACTGTGAGGTGTTGGGTATGGTTTGGTGGGCTTTTCGTGGGTTTGGATGGGCGGGAAAGAGGTGAAGGTACCTGTTAATATACACTGCCTTTTCTACGTTACTGGTGGTGTTCATGGTGTCGTGTTCAGGAATGGAGGTTACTGGTAGGGTTTGAAATGGGATACTCAGTTGTATACGTAGATTGGATTACAGTCTACTTTTATCTATAATGCCAATTGAGGTGTTGCTGGGCTGTATATCAATGGCTAAGTGTCTCAGGTTGGATTAGATGGCAATATCAGAACCAAGAAGACAATTGACCCGGGATTGTATACATCTATACCCTACTGCAAAAAAAGCTTAGCAACGAACACTTACATCAGAGGTTGACGTCCAGTGTTTCTTGACTCCTTCCCTACTCGATCAGTTGTCTTTAACCAGATTGCGAAACCTGCCGACAGCAAGACAGGCCACCCATGACTCTCATATTCTCTGAAGGCCCTTCATTCTCTTGCTTCTTGTGTTGGGGTTTGTTTGTAGGGAAGGCTACAATGTCTCCGTCTCCTGGAGGAAGCCCCATACATATCTTCTCGGGCACTGGATACAGCGAAGGCGGTGTTTTAGTTGCTTCTTCTCCGGTGAAGCTGTCATCAAGAACTGTAACAAGTAGAACCAACCCTGACGGGTTTGGGCAGATGATGCGAGTTGGGTAGATATGTAGTGACACAGAGCCTGCGTGCAGTCTGTCAAGATCACATATAAAGTCCCCGATACTACGTGGTCATTAGTGACACCCGATATCTACCCACTCTTCTAGACTACCATTATCCTGCTATCACCACACCTCTCGTACCGGAAGATGATGCCCACGTTCCTCCAAGCGATCTGTTCCACATGCATAGCTCTTGCAATATACACAGCAAGTCTAGCCATCTACCGTCTCTTCTTCTCCCCGCTCGCCAAATTTCCCGGCCCAGCTCTCGCCGCTGTCACCAGCTGGTACGAGGTATTCTTTGATGTTCTCCTCGGTGGCCAGTTCATGTGGGAAATCGACCGTCTCCACGGAAATTATGGTCCTATTGTGCGGATCAACCCCAACGAACTCCATATCAAAGACCCAGACTACTATAACACCCTCTATGCAGGGCCCACAAAGCGACGGGATAAGTACCTTTGGTTTCTATCTGTCGGAGCTTCGACCTCGACCTTCGCCACCGCAGAATATGATCACCACCGCTTGCGGCGTGGGATGATTAGTCCCTTTCTCTCCAAGCAAGCTGTCAGGGACTTGGAGGGGGTTATCAAGGGCAAGTTAGATTTGCTCTGTGGGCATATGGAGAAGGCCATGAGGACTGGTGAGGCAGTGGAGTTGCATACTTCTTTCGTGTCGTTTGCTGTGGATGTTGTTTCGACCTATGCATTCGGGGAGAGCGGGTGCTTCGAAGAGTTGAGGAGGGAAAGGCTAGATGACAGATGGAAGAAGGGCGTAAATAGCACCTTCGCCAAACTCATTCTTGCGAGGCATTTTCCTTGGCTAGTGGTTCTTTTTCGGTTCCTGCCTCTGTGGGTCAGTGCGCTTCTCGCTCCTGGGGTGCGGTATATTGATTATACGGAGAAGGTAAGTTTCCTGGGAGAATTTGGTTGCACTGTTGATGTGGACCTGAGTGTTACTAATAAATATGGACATCAGGAGATAGAACACCAAATGCAATACGTGTTTGCGAAAAACAAGGACGGCGTCAAGGAGAATAGCATCTTCTCGCAGCTTATGCACAATCCTAAACTACCTCCGAAGGAGAGGACATTACATAGACTGACTGACGATGCCAAATTTCTGATGATTGCCGGCACTGACGCTCCATCTCAGGTTTTGGCCATCACAATGTTCCATGTTGTTCGTTCTCCGCTGGTCTGTCGAGACTTACGTAAGGAGCTGCAGGACAAGACTGCACATTTACAAGATGGGCTTGGCTTGAGCATGCTTGTAAAACTTCCGTATCTGGTGAGCAAAGGGACCCTTCCGTTATAGGTCTCCACGGCTCACTTCAGATAAGACTGCAGTCATTAAAGAGGGGCTTCGTGTCTCTGCCGTTGTCACATCACGTCTCCCGCGGATTGCGCCTGATGAGACACTGGAGTTCAGAAACTGGAAGATTCCCCCAGGGGTATGGTGTCTCTTTCATATCATTCTAGAATCTGTTTTGCTGGCTGACGAGGCTTTCGACAAACGACAGACCCCAGTGAGCATGTCCAGCCACTTCATTCTGCGGGATCCCGCTATATTCCCTGATCCACTAGTCTTTCGGCCTGAACGGTGGCTAACACCAAGCCCTACCGGCTTGAACTTGGACAAATATCTCGTACCGTTCTCAAAGGGAAGCCAAGGATGTTTGGGGCCAAAGTATGCTGTTTCTTAGATATCGACAACACTCGCTAACTCAGACATTTAGTATGGCTCATGCTTGGTTCTACCTAGCCCTAGCCACGCTGCTGCGGAGATTCGAATTCTCTCTGTTTGAAACCGCCGAAGAGAACATTAGGACAGTCCGGGACTGTTTCAATGGACAGACAAAACCTGGACAAAATCATATCCAGGTGAAGGTGTTGGCGGAGTGTACATAGCCCAAGTTTTGATATATTTGTGTTATTGGCATCTACTTGGTAGGATAGGGAACATCGCAAGAAGAAGCTGATTCCAAGAAATCAAATCATTCCAGAAGGCGTAGCCAAGACGTGTCGCATGCTTACCGAAATGTGGTATGGTGGCTGGGAGTGGAGCAGTCGAGACGAACACCAGGGTTAGTTAACTAATAGAGTTTCTCTGACTCAATGATATGGGGCTCTTTGACAGCTGGGAAGGCACTAGTACTCACATCTGAGATTGGCGTGTTATGCTTGCGACACTTTCTTGACGCAGCGGTAAAGCAGTATTTGTCTGGTTTGTTTTGGGTTGCGTGCTCGGACATGTAGATCTGCGTGGTATCATAACTTGGATTTAGCTCCCACATATTAACACCACATAGACAATTAGCTGGTGCTTGTATCTGCGACTGGAACCTTATTTTTGCCCTCAAATGTTCCAATCCTGTTGGCACTAAGTTATTTCAGATATCGCCCACCTGAGCAGAGATACGGCGTCTCGGGTGTGCTGTGACCCGACGTTCAATTAGTGATAGGCGCACGAAGTACGGAGTCGCGAGGGATGAAAAGTAAGCTGCATGAGAATTGGTCTGTGTAAGACGCTAATGACAAGCCTGTGGGGATGGGTTGCAGAGAAAAAGTTAGCGTTCGGCAAAAGATGTGGTGATGGACATTCAAAACACCTGACCTCACTTGACTTGCCTTATGTAAGTCGAGTATGGCTCCCCCTTTTAGGATTGATATGTACATACCATTGTTCAGTCATTCCTCCCTCAGAGAAAAACAACCCATTCAATGCCCTCACGGTGCAGGGATATAAACACTGTGTTTGTTTGGTATGTTAACATCCTGCCAATCGGGACCCAAAAGGCTGGAAACGCGGCAGAGTATAGACTTCGGCTATTCAGAGCTGGTCCTCTTCATGACGGTCCGCGGCCGCAGTGGATCAGCATTCCACCAAATCAGAACAGATCCTCTCTCGTGTCGCGGAGCGAACTCAAAACAAAACATCCACACCGACGACCCCTTTGCTCGTCAAATGGGACACGAGCTGACAACCGTTCCACTCTGAGTGGGCGCGCACTCTCCATTGGGCCCCAGCCCAAGCAAGGAAGCTCTCACTCTCCCACTCTCCAGACGAACCATGATCTGTGCGACGATCGATCCCGCTTTAGGACCTCTAAGAGACAGCCAGTGGACTGATGACCCAAGCCAGTCCATCAATTCACAAACTATTGTTATGAGATCGTCGCGCGAATCGGCGTGATTCGGCTGAGCCAAGATCTGCAGCCACACAAGAATCTTCACAAATCACAACTGGTACCGGTGCTTGCACAGGGATGAATGTGGAGGATGGGCCAACAGAGCACCTGGTGGAGAGGGAATTTAAATTGCCTACCTCCGGCAACTGACCCTCCTCCCGTGAGAATTTCTGTAGTTTTCCTGACCTAGCAAACATCATGCCGTCGCCGATCCCGAAGCCGAAAGGTGTTCCCATCCTGGGAAATCTCCTCGATCTTGATGGTAACAATGCCTGGGGCTCCTTCAACAAGCTAGCCAAAGATTATCGTGAGTCTCAATGAGCCTTTTGTGACAGGGCACAGCTAACACCATGTGCCTGTACCCTAGGCCCCATCTTCAAAATCACCATCCTCGGTCGCGATATAGTCTTTATTACCGGTGCCCACCTACTAGAAGAGATTTGCGACGAAACGCGCTTCCGCAAATGCGTAGAAGGCCCCATCGTAGCAATCCGTGATGCAGTCAACGACAGTTTGTTCACGGCAGATCACGATGAAATGGAAGCATGGGGTATCGCACACCGCATAATGGCGCCCCTGGTTTCGTGGGAAGCTGTTGAGCAGGTGTTCTCCGGCATCCAAGAAACAACAGACGACCTGATCAAGAAATGGACGGCGGGGTCCCGGCAGCGTGTCGATGTGACGAACGACTTGGATCGATGCAACCATGCCGCAAACATGCTTTGCTTCTTCGATCAGCGGGTACACTGCATGGAGGGTCCTGAACCTCCGGTCATTAAAGCCATGGACGGTGCTACCCATGAGGCGATGCGCCGACCTCTCCGCCCCCGGCTACTCAACTGGTTGTTCTACAATCGTAAATGGAAAGCGTGGATCAAGACTATGCGTGACTGCGGAAAAGACATCGTTGATACTCGAAAGAGCAATCCAACCGACAAGAAGGACATGCTCTATGCGTTGCTAGAGGGCAAAGACCCGGAAACCGGTAAAGGCCTGACCGACAGTCAGGTGCTGGATGAGATTATCAATATCTTCATTGGTAGCGCCACGGCACCCAACCTACTCGCTTTCGCAATGTACTATCTGGCGAAGAACCCAGACGCAGTTGCCAAGGCTCGCGAGGAGCTGGACACTGTGGTCGGTGGTCCTTCTGTCAGGATCGAACACGAACATCTTGCTCGCCTCCCCTACACTGAAGCTATCCTGCGGGAATCCTTCCGACTCTCCGGCGTCGCCCCCGGCTTCAATATCCAACCTATCCCTTCGATCGAGGGCCCCGTCCTGCTCGCCGGTGGTGAGTACGAAGTTCCCAAGAAGCAGGCCCTGATCGCCATCCTGGCGGCTGTGAATCGTGATCCGGCCATCTTCGAAGACCCCGAAGCCTTCAAACCCGAGCGTATGGTCGGAGAGAATTTCGACCGACTCCCCAAGGGTGTGAAGAGGGGCTTCGGTAATGGTAAGCGCGAGTGTATTGGCAAGCGGTATGCCTGGCAATGGTCCTTCCACGTGCTGGCGAGCATCCTCAAGGATGTCGAGTTTGAACTGGCGGACCCGAACTATGTGGTGGGCAATGACGGTATTAACTGCAACGGAGCGTTCAGTGTGCGGCCGCAAGAGATGTTTGTGGTAACTGGACCCAGGGCTCCTGCTGCCTAATTTTTGATGTCTCTGCTACTTGATTCTTGTTAGGATACCAATGTTGTTTATTAAGTCAATAATGTCTATTAAGGATGAACGAGCTGTGTTTGAGGGACCGATATGTGTCTGGCGATTACTTGTGGACTGCCTAAGTTATGCCACAATATTTATAGCATATAATCTATCATATGCAAAGCTCAAAGAAATCTCTGAACGAAAAGCTATGTCCACCACCGTCTGAAAGTAACTCGGAATACCTTGACATTTCACCCTCCATCAGATAGCTCTATCTAACAACGCCTTTCTTGCTATCCTGATTTCTGACCCTTAGACGGGGCTGATCGAACTCTCCAACCTGCGGCATTTCACTTTGCAACAACGCCTCCTGCGATGAAGGTCTTAGATTCCTGAGGAATAAGGCAAGAGGGAAGGAGAAATAGAGGACAGAGATGGTGGAAGTGAGCGGTTGACAACCAACAGGTCTGCCATCGGTGTTAAATAGATAATCATGCTATCTCAAGAGTAATTAACACTAATCTCGATCTCATCCTGATGTGCCTCGAGGGCAGTTGGAATATTCTATCTAACGACTTGTATTCGGTAAACTCATTCTTATACATCACCTCGATCAATCATCATTGTTATTCAAACTTCGAAGAGACCAACAACACCTTTTTACAAGGGAGTGTTCTTTTTCTATCTCACCCGACAAGAGAGCTCCGGATAAAATGCACATGATCAAGGTAAACATAAACGAGAAAGATAAAACTTATTCTAGCTCTAGGTATCTAGTCGCGCGACTATCACTTAACCCATATCCCATGATCTGTCCTATCATCTACGTCATGGGAGCTCACGGCGACATTGCTCACCTACTAGAACCAGAAGGGTAGCCATCGAGGTGCTCGTCGAATTTTGCTCGGTAGGTAGGACTGACCCGTAACCCAGCTTGCCCTAGCCATTGCCCAGTCTGTCCAGGCATCATGAAAAGCTCGCCTTTAGCAACCCATCAATGAAGGACCAGATCCGCGCCGAATCATGCGAGTCAAACGTGGCAGACATATAGTACGTCTTGCGGTGGCCCTGCAAATTATTCAGACGTCTGTAGAAGCCATTGCGAATTGCATCTGGCGGGACAGTCAATAGGAAGGGGCTATGGTCCGAATATCGAACGAACTCCGGCGGCTCAACAGGAATGCCCGCCTTCCTTAATTGCATGACACTGAGAGTCATATTACCCTTAACCTCTGCTTCCGTCATGTGGTCTTTGCTTCCGTAGAGAATAGTAAACAGCCCCGGCTCTCTGGTGGTGTTTATCACGTAGACCGCAGGCTGAGGTGGCAGTTGGTAGAGGGTATCGGTTGCACGGTTGACAATCTGCATGTCTTCTGGAAGACCCGGGATCCTGGCGAGAGCCGTGTAGTAGCACGTGTTATTGAACTGCCCGAACAACTCTCGCTCTGAATCGTCCAGGTCCATGTCCATTCCCTTCAGCATATCCAGCCTGGGTTGAATGACTATGATGAGTTTCCGTGCACGAATCACTTTCACCCCGGATGGCGTTTGCACCACCGCGTACGCCCACCCCCTCGCGTCATTGCGGTGTGTATAAGTAACAGTGCTATTGAGTAACACGTCCTCGCCTAGCTCCTCCCGCGCAGCACCATACAGCTCGCTATTGTTGCGACTGGCTGGCACAAGAAAACCCCCGAATGCGCTTTGGACCACACCAAGGCCGAAATATTTCAACATGTAAAGTGTTGTCTGCTGCAGTATATCGCCGGCGCCTTGATTGAACATGGCAATGATATCGACAGCGCCCTCGAGCTCATACTTCTTCACGAATTCGCCGAACGGGAGCAGCAGATCTGGGGGTACGGGGTTGGGCAGGTTGAAGCCCGTGTTGAGATACGGGTACTTGAGCAGCTGGGCCGAGTACGCCGTCAATGCCTGGTACATGTTGCCCTGGGCTGGACCGACGGGGGTCCCGGTGCGAAGATCGACCCGACGCTGCGTGGAGTTCTGCTCTAGAATGCGAACCTTCTCCAGTGGAATGTCGAAGTGGTCGAAGTAATCTCGCAG